ACCTATAACTCGAGTTTAAAAGCTCTTAAAAATATAACAGCAGTGTTAAAATGTTTTATGCTGCTCTGTGTTCAGAATATGATTGTATTTTTTTATCTTTAAAATGTTTAAGCATTTATAAACTACAAAATGAATGGGTTATGTCGTAACCCATTCATTTTGAACTCGCTCGGGAGCGCCCTCTAGCGTTTGAGAAATCCGGAAAAGACATTACAGAGCGATAATTCTCCTCTCTACAAGTTCTCCGCGTTTTCCTGGCTCTGATTTTTCCTCTTTTTCTATGTATCAGTGTCATGTATCGGTGAGCTCCCACCCCACCGATCAGTGACCCCTCGAAAATATAAACACATACTTTTAAAATACAGTTTTTAAATACTGCAGTATACTGTATTTTCATTATATGGCTCAAGTCTAATCGAGACACTACCATAGTGTTTCGAATCAAATTATGAATCGTGAATCGTTGCACCTCCAGTATGACAGCACTAGTTATGCCCAGTGCTACAGGATGTGCTATTCACATGTGACTTTACACAAAAAGAAAAACAAGGTGCTTCATCAAACCGCAGGTGAGGAGCAACCAAAAATCAGAAAAGGCATTTTTTAGGTAAAAAGGTACAACCCTCACTCTATCACTGCACACCCTGCACATGGGCCAAAGCATCCTATGTTCAGCTGAACGTTGTTATGTGATGGAGTGAGTGCTGCACGTTCTTCCCAGTAGGCATTTTTACTGATGATTTTATGTGAGAGTGAGTCTGACCTATATATTCACAGCTGTGCTTTGAATGGTGTGATTCACCCCCCGTACTCTTTACTCTCCGTGTTTGTGTACACTCCTTCACTTATCTCCCTGATCTGATGAACAGATGGGGGTGCTCACCTTCTCATGCAAACAAAGGATTTTTGGAACATGTTCAGTGTTTCCCCTAGATTTGCTTTAAGGCCGGGTGGTAGATCCTTCGAAACTACCAGAGGTGATGTGCGTATGTGGTGCCATTAAGCTCAAACAGGGCTGGAGTAGTGTTATGATGTAAAATTATTGCAGTGAATTTAATATAAATGTGAGTATTGTACATGTAAGTTTTACATTCGCTGTGCATTTGTAGAATTGTGATTGATTAGGAACTTCATTTAGCCAGTTTATTTATATCATAAGAATAGAAGTGAGTGTTTTATAGCTGGCTCAAAGAATAATTTGCATACATTTCTATAGGGATGTATAAAAGACCGTAAATCATTTTTAAAGCAGCACTAATTACTGGGAATAAATATGAAGTTGATCTGTAATCACTTGGCAAGAAAAAGGTGTAGCGAATAGGATGATTTGAAAAAAGTAATTTTCATAATTTCAAATTTCATAATTAGATACTTGCAGAAGTCAGAGGATGTGTTTACTTAATTCCCAGCAAAAACAGATGTGAAGTTATGCAGCTTGCTGTACAATACTAGCTTGCTGTGCAATACGATGTGGTGCAATATGTTATGATACAATATGACACGTTACAGCTCAACACAGTACAATATGATATGACACAATATGATATGTTGCAATGATCCGATACGTTACGACACAATACGATTCATTACGATGATACAATTTGTTACATTACAGCACAATATGATACAAAAGAAAACATTACGACCCAATACGATGGGTTACGACACAAAACGATACAATATAATAAGATATTTTATGACACAATACAATAAAATACAATACAATACAACACAATGCGATGCAGTGTATTGTTACACCTGTAATGACTTAATTACTGCTAAATTGAGATTAATTAGACCTCACATAAGGTAAGAAATAGCATTCCAGCATATGTTACATATTAATCAAGATTAAAATTCGTTTAGGTTATCATATGCTTAGAAGTATTGGGGCTCATTTTCTCCTGAGCTCTGCTATTGTGCATTTAGTTCCATTTAATTGTATTCCTGGGAAAATAACTAAAATTAAAAAAATCTCTATAAAGAAAGATTTGTTAATATTGGTATTTTGTTGTTTTTGTTATTAATCTGAAGGAAAAGAGGTCTGAATTGAGGCTGTGAACAGGCTGGATATTTCCTTAGCTGTTTATAGTTGAAACCTGAAGTGGCACTGGATAGTAGAGCAGCCCCTATTTTGCATATTGGGGCTTGTTTCTCTTGACAACACTCATTGTTGATATTAAAATAGAAACATCTGAAAGTAAAATGGTCATGTAAGTTGATTTTCTTAGACAAATAAATTAATTTATTAGAGTTTGTTTCCTCCAGTAGTAATGCTGAACCACTGCACATTTGGCTACTGGACGTGCAATATTCCACTTCCATATGAAACCTCCTCAACTGTCCAGCAGAAGTTATGAGTTTGGACATCTGGAACGCCCTTTAAAGGCTCCCCAGGCTGGTAATAAAAGCAGGCTTAGTCTGAGTCCATGCTTAAGACTTTTACTGTCATTGTCTCCAGATTATGGCCTCATCCAATAGGAACAATAGCTGGTTCAGGTCAGGGGTCACGGTGGAGTTCAGCTGTACTGGTGAACGTGGCCTCTTTTGGGGCTGCTCCAAATCTGAGACAGTGAAGATCAGCTACCGTTTACGCGGAGCATGTTAAAGGAGTAGTCCAGCGTATTTCAACCTAATCACGGTTGGCTCGTTTCTATGATACGGTTGATTATCAAACACAATGATTAACGTGTTTCCGTGTACAAAGACAAAAAAGAAGAAAATGATGACTCAAAACATTTCTATAATAGAAGTAAATGGGCAGCTTCAGCGCCTGTACACTCGCTTCTATTATAATGACTTCTGAGTTAAAGGGGAATTCTACCAAATTAAAAAATTCTGCATAATTCAGTGTTTGGGATGTAAACAAAGTCATTTGCAAGAGTTTGGTGTGAAATGGTTCATTGTAGAGACTCTTCTTTACTCTTTTCTTTACAGTGGTGATGATAGGAACCTGGTGTCGCAATGTCAACAACACAAATATAGACATTTTATTTATTATCCAAAACCACCAGTGAACCTACACGAGTCTTCTGACGTTTTATATGTAATGTTGATGATGGTAACATAGTGGAAAATCAGAAAAACATAAGTTCACCACCAATCACCACCAATGTGAACAATTCTGCCTCTAAGCTTCTCTAAAACAGAGCATTTCACACCAAACCACTCTGAATGACTTCACAACTTAACAATTGAATTATGCAGAATTGTAATTCCCCTTTAATGGGGTTTCTATTCATTTCTATTAATCAACTAAATCCTACAGATGTGTCAGGTTGAAATTGCTCTAGTATTACTTTAAAGTCGCCTCTGAGCAGCTGATCAGGTTACAAAGGACAATACCACCTACTTCTGTTAGGAGCTCCACCAATGGGGTTGAGGACGTTGTGCCTTTAGTATCACAGTGACAACAGCTTTACAAACATTTGCAATAATCAAACATTATTTTATCTTCTTTTCTCTTATAAGCCTCCATTTCCTTCCTTAGTGATCTCTGGTTTCACTGTATCAACCTTTTTGTGTTTTTTAAGCTACTTTGTCTGCACTGAGTATTAAAATGTAACCGAATTGCATGAATTAAGTGTGTTGTTATTATTATTATTATTATTATTATTATTATTATTATTATTATTATGGCTGTTATTGTTATTATTATTGTTGTTATTACACAATGATAATCAGTTAACAATGTCCTACGCTAGAACCCAGAAACCTGTGGATGAACTCGAAGGAATACTCCAGCATTTCACAACCTAACCTTTATTTCTAGCTGCTTCAGCATCTGCCCATTGACTTCTATAGTAACTGTGCTTTGAGTCATTGTGTTTTCTGTCTTTTCACTAAGCGCAGAGGAACATGGTTAAGGCAATCAACCCTACGCTACAGACGGGGCAGATAGAGATTAGATCGACAAACACCTTTAAAGGAGAATCCCACCAATATTTCCAAATTTCTAAATGATGTAAAGTCATTCAGAGGGGCCTGAAGAACTGTTTATATTCTGGAGCCATAATTGTTCACAGAGGTGATGATAGAAACCAACATTTGAAGATGCTGAGACATTGTTTACAATACTTATGTGAGACAGTTTTTGGCCTAAAATGTCTTTTTAAAACATGTTCATGGTGGAGGGGTCATCATCATCATCATCATCATCAGTACATGTAAAAGCTCAGAAGACACATGTAGGCTCACTGGTGGTTTTGGATAGTAAAGAAAATGGCTATGTTTGTGTTGTAGTCATGGCGACTCCTGGTTCCTGTCACCACCACTGTAAAGACATCTGAACCATTTCACACCAAACCACTCTGAAGGATTGAAAGCACTCCTCAACGATTGAATTCTAGAGCAATTTTGGAAACTCGGTGGAATTCCCCTTTAAGTGGTGCAGCCTGCAGGTCATGAATTAGAAATAAATACAACCCGGCGATGGGACAGTGACAGGTTCATTAGCAGCACGGGCACGCTTTAGGCCAAAGTGAATAAAGACCTCCAGCAGGAGCCCAAACCTGAGAAACGTAATTGCTTCGTGATATAATCTACAGGTTATTTAGCCTATAAGGAATTTCAATTGGTGGGGAATTTCCTCAGGGTAGGCCAAACAAGGTGAATCCATTTACTACAGATGTCAAACCTACATCTAAGGAGAAACAGGCCTGATGGAAGCTAATATGAAGTGGCTGTTTTACTGGGTCATGAAAAGGCTACCAGAACAACAATGTAGTATCCATTAGTAACACATACAGTATACAGGCTGTAGGCCTGTGGGGGAATCTAGATGGATGATGATGATGATGATGATGATGGGGTGCAATGTCAATGAAAGGCTCTGCTCGTGCTGGTGGCATAATAAAAGCCACCTCATATTATGACTGTCAGGTCTAGCACAGGCCTGCCATTGTCCTAGCTGTGCAAAACGAGATGATGCATCCATCACAATACAAACGAGGAGATGCTGCTGGTGTGATGATTTGCGCTGGACATGCATGCAGACTCACCTTGGCCATTCTCCATGGCATGTGGCTGAGCTCTATCAGACATCAGGCTCTGCCCTGCCTTCTGACGCCCCAACGCCCCAGGGGTGGTGGGGTCTGTGGTGGGGAGCTCGATGGTGGTCACCCGGGAGGAGAAGGTGGCTGTGGCCGGGGTCAGTGGAGGCAGGGTGGGGGTGAAGCCTGGATTTGGTCCAGTGGCCGCTGCCTCGGACAAACCCAGGCACACAAACACGAGAACCGGGACAAACATGGTTGGGACGAGATCTCAACAAAGCTCCTCAGACCGGGGCTTCTCCAATCACCATCTGCCCTCCGATGTCCATCGAGGAGGTTTTCCTCCAGAAATCCAGCCGCTTTCAGCAGTTACTCCACCATGGTCAGGAGAAAAAAAAATAGCCCCCTTTTTCTCAATGGCTGTAAATCCACCGCAAGGTGCTCGATCCACCGCGACCAGGCGTCACAACAATACGCATTAAACAGGCAGCGGATCTGGCCAATCAGAGCGCAGGGAGGGCTCAACGCTGCAGCGCGTTTTCTCATCGCTGACGCCGCTGATTGGTCGGCAGACGATGCAGAGCGTAGCGCTGTGGATTCTTCTAATACACGAATTTAAATGCCTGCTTATGTTCTTTACTGCACAATTTTGAATTAAACAATGCTTCATTATAGCAGTGCTTCGTAATATAGGTGGCATATTTGCATTCGGAGGTTTGTAGTAGCTAAAATATGTGGGTTTAGATGTGTAACATTTCAGATTAGACTGAAACTGGTTCAAGTGGAGTATTATGGAAAAAACAGCGCTAAATCTAAACTTGTAATACTCAAATTTAGCACATTTTATCCTGTACATGTTTATATAAGGTTATAGTCTGATTGAGAGAATGCATCCTCAAGTAGCATTTGGAGTTGCATGATCTTTTCCTTTGACAAGCAATTTGGGCTGATTTTTTGTTTTATTTTGTTTATTTATTTATTTATTTGCATTATTAGGGGAGGACTGTACCTTAAATATCGCTTTTCGTTTAAATGGTTCATATATACAAACCTGTATTTGGTATATATGCACAGGATATAAAATAAAATGGATTGAATTTTTTTTAAACTGTGGTTTTGTAGGTGATGATTTAAGAGTGGGCTAAAGCTGGATGTTGTAACTGTTCTAAGTGGGTGTTTTAGTGGTTGTGGTTGTCACCCCGTGGTTTGAAAAGGCTTCAATAGAGCTGTTGGGTTTTGATAGTATTCAGGAATTTAGCGCCATCTGCTGGTCGGCTAATGTACCTACTGTACAATGCGTTGCATAGGCCAACCTCTGTTAGCAAGGGTACTACTAATAAAACATAAACATTATAATCATACCACTGACTTAATTCCCAGTTTCCCAGTCCTTATCCAGGAGTTCTCTTGCATTTTAATGTCTTCGTCCTTAAAACACAGCATTTTAACTCATGACTAAGCCCTTAGGTTTAGTATGCTAGGTCTCATACCTAGCTCCACTTTAAACATTGACAAGTAAAGCTGTCAAGAAATTTAGGTAATGTATTATTTACTTTGTATATTGCAATTTTACAGTGAATTCCTGAGTAAAGAATTCAGTTCAAAGCCCATCTCTGAACATGGAGGAGCCTGTTAGCCTGCTAGCTGTCTGCTGAGCTAGATAGCGTAGCTCTAGCTCTTAAGAAATATCCTGAAAGCCCCAAAAACCAGTGTGTTTAGTATGATTTTGGACCATTTGCTTCTATGTGTGATGTATACAAGTAACCTAAAGATCAAGGATTATTCCATAAACATCATAAATGTTTTAACAATGTTGCACATTAATGCGGAAGCACTATAAAACTGCAACCCTAGTACACTAGCTGGTTTATGGTGATCTGTTGCTGGTTTAGCTGGTCACCCAGCATGGTCACATTGGTTGCCCAGCATACCAGCATCCAATCCACAACACATCATCATATCATATCATATCATATCATAAAAAAGTAGAAACATATATCTTCAAAATAGTACCTTTACAGGATGAGGCAAAAGCATTTTCAACTCTTAGTGTACATTGATGTATTTTTTTTTATTCCAGTTCATTTTGGAGCATTTCTTTTGGCCCATTTATGATAAAATTTTCACTCAATTGATTTTTTTTATTATTTTTAATATGAAATGAGTGATGGTGATAGGAACCAGAGGTCTCCATATCCACAGTGCAAATAAAGCAACTATATTTTAGCCATTTTATTCACTATCCAAAGCCACCAGTTAACCTACACATGTCTTCTGAGTTTTTATATGTAAAGTTGATGATGGTAAAATAGTCATAAATCTGATAAATAAGTTTTCTATAGGGATATTTGGTCTTAGAACATCCTTCATGTATCCCTCCACAATGACTGGATTAAAATACATAGGTTAAAATACATTCATGATGAAATTGTCACACGGTTTAACAGACAGCTGCTGTGTTCAAATGATAAAAAAATTAATAATAAAAATTTTAAAAATAGAGATACGTCTTTTCTTGGACAGCGACAGCCATGCTGGTCCATGCAGGTTTTTCCAGCAGTGAAGAGGTCATAGGTGTGTGTTTATTAAGTGTTTTAACTGCTTTGTCAGATTTTACAACCACAACATCATAGAAATGAAGGTTTGGAGCAGAAGACTACAATAAAAATGCTAAAATGTGACGTCTGGAGCAGGATGAGAAACGCTGGCCTGAAAGGAGACGGCATGAAGCATTCAGAGCTGTTTTCTACTAAATCTGAAATAATAAACATCTGCTGGAGTCTAAATGCTCTGATTCCTTTTGTTTCCTGCAGGAACTGCTAGTAACCCTGATTTGCATCTGGTAATTGTGGGTAAACCCAGATTGACCGGATTCATCACTGTGGTTATCTGGCCTACACTGTCTTGGTGTGTTTGACCACTAGGGGGCGAGGCAGTGACTCCTCATGTCCTTGTTCATACTGCTGGGAAGAGAAGGCTCATAGACCACTGTAGTCGTGCGTCATTCTGTAGTCCTCATTATGCCCATATTAGGAACTCCGGGTCTGAGCTCCATTTCTCTTTTGGAAAAAATTATTTTTCGAAAAATCGCCTCTATCGCCCCCCTGTGTTAAATAAAAATGTTCAGAACCCGACACGTTTTGTCCTGTGAAACATTTTTCTCCCGAATACCACTGGATCCTCTGAATTACGAGGTTGTTAAGGAGCTATAATACTAATATTGCTACATGTGAGCTAAAGCTACTGCGCATCAATTTGATGTCACTAAGCTACACTAAACTAAGACGGGTGTGTCGGTGCTCTGATGAGCTGCGCTACCTTATTGAAATGTTCTACTGTAGCTCTTACTTACAGATATACCCGTAAATAAAACCTCTAGGTGGGATATTTTGATAGACTAAAACTCCTTATCAAAAACTCTAAACTAAACTACGAGGCTGAATTCAGCTTCTTTTGTCGCAGCTTCTTGTTTGAATGTTCCCTTTCCACCTTAAATGGTGCAGCAGCTGTGACTAGCTATCACAAACATCAGCAAACGAGACAAAATACTGACCTGTCGGTTCTGTGAAACAGCAAAAATAAGTAAATGTTACTCTGTTAAGTGAAAATAGAGAAAAGTCCTCATATCAGGCCTTTCAACCCTCCATGAAGATGAAGTCAGCTTCTTTATCGCCGGCTGCTTGTTCGAATTTCCCCATTCCACCTTAAATGGCGCAGCAGTTCAGAACATGACTGCTGCACCACTTAAGGTGGAGCGGGAAAAGTTGAACAAAAACCTGCCGAATGTCCTGAGAAAATGTCCTCAGATAAATGTTACCGGCATTAAAATAATACTTAGGATATTCTGAGAACTGAAATCAGTTTATCAGGGGTGATAACCTGATTAAGGAGGCTGCCAGTCTAATGACGTGAATTCAGTGCGCAGTAGCTTTCGCTCACATGTAGCAATATTCATTTCAACTCTTTAACAACCTTGTAATTCAGAGGATCCAGTGGTATTTAGGAGAAGAATGTTCTCAGGACGAAACGTATCGGGTTCTGAACATTTTTATTGAACACAGGGGGCGCTAGAGGCCATTTTTCAAAAACCCTGTTCATTCTGGCCATAGAGAAATGGAGTTTAGACCCGGAGTTCCTAATATGGGCATAAGAGCATGGCGCCGACTACAAAATGACGACACGACTACAGTGGTCTATTTCTGATGGATTGGTCAGCTGAATTCTCTTGTAGCTGTAAAGTTTATTTCATATCTTCTCACTGTTTTTATGCTCTTGCTTTGCTTAAAAGTTCTTTCTCATAGTTGAAACGTTCAGCTCCTCAGGGAAACATATAGGACTCAGTGACTCTTCTAAATAGGCCATAGTGCCCGGCTCATTAAACAGTCTAGAACCAGTTAAATGTTTCATACCCCTGTAGTGTGATGAATTATGCAGAATGTGAACTGTAACAGGATCAGGGCCCTGCAGCACTGCGGTGTAGACCAGCTCTAGAGTCAACAAGTACACATGACTGACAAGCAAGGCCATGTGCAAACACTCTGAGACATTACAAACCCACTCCGACTGGCTTTTTATGCTTTTGGCATAAAGAAAATATGAACATATATCACGTTATGCATGTAGGCAAATCAGCATGATGAAGAGACAAGCACTGACCAAGCAGCAGAGCACAGCGTGGCTCTGTTTCAAGTATATCTGTGTACTAGAGAGTTTAGTGTGTAGAATTCAGGATGTTTGGATGCTGGTATGCTGGTCAATCAACGTGACCATGCTGGGTGACCAGCTACACCAGCACCAGATCAGTATAAACCACACTCTCAAAAGTGATGGTTCTTCAATTAGGGGTTCTTTAGTAAAGAAAATGGTTCTATGAACACTCACAGAGCCAGTTGTATGATTAAGAGTTCTTTGTATCATGAAAGAGTTCTTCAAATTGATGGAGAATATGCTGTAGATGGTTCTATATAGGACCATTTTCTTTATTAAAGAACCCTTGAATAACTGTCTTGTTAAAGTGTGCAGCTGAATTTGATCTGAATTTATTTTAGCCTAATGTGAAATGCCATCAGATGTGGTCCTGTGCTGTTTTTTCAGCACAACAAACGAATTCTGTATTAATGAGCCACATTGTTAAAAACGTTTCTGATTTAGGTTCCTTGCATGGCATCAAACATAGAAGCAAATGGTCCCAAAATCACACTAAACATACTGGTTTTTGGGGCTGTCTGCATGTTTCCTTAACAGCTAGAGCTACGCTAACCGGCTAAGCAGACAGCTAGCAGGTTAATGGGCTCCTCCATGTTCAGAGTTGGGCTTTGAACTGAATTCTGAACTTAGGGATTCACTGTAAAATTGCCAAATACAAAGTAAATAATACATTAACTACATTTAATTGAAGGCTTTACTTGTCAATGTTTTGACAATTCTGTTTATTGAGTATGAAAGAAGGAAAAGGCTTACAAAGCTGAGACAAGATACATGCACAGATTTTGTTGGATATTCCCAAGCCCAAATCCCCCAAACCAACTAAACCCATACCAGCCACCCCCCCACCCAAATCCACCCACGTCCACCCAATTCCACCCCGTCACCTGTGTCACCACATCAGACAACACTGAGTGTCAAATGAGTAAATAAATGGAAAATACACATACACGTATACATACCCACATGTATACCTACATAATATATATACAGAAATATATTCACAATTATATATTAACAGGAGAAAAGAAAAAAATAAATAAATATATATATATATATATATACACATGTACATATACATATATATATACATACATACATACATACAATAAATAATAATAGTTAAAAATAATAATAATAAAAATAAATGAATAATTTAATAATAAAAAAATAATAATAATTAAAAAAAAAAAATGAGATTAACAATTAAATTAATTACTGTGATATACTGGGAATGTCAAACTGCTTGAACTCAGAGAAGAAGGAGAAAAGGGGCCCCAAACGCGAAGAAAATGACGTGTGTCGCCTTTAAGTGTGTGTCTAATTTTTTAAAGAAATGAGGCAACATCTTTAAGCCAGCATTCAAATGAAGGTGGAGTGGGACTTTTCCACTGAATAAAAATTCGACGTCTAGCTAAAAGGGTGCAAAAAGCAAGGACATCAGAATATGCAGCTGACATAGTAGAATCTTTGGGCGATAAACCAAACAGAGCGACTAGTGGACAAGGTTCAATTTTTGAATCAAGAATGAAGGAGAAGCAACGAAACACAGACTGCCAAAAGGATTTTAAAGCAGGGCAAAACCAAAACATATGAGACAAGGTAGCTGGAGCTTGAGAACATCGATCACAAAGATCATCCAAATCCGGGTTAAGTTTAGCAAGTTTAACCTTTGTCCAGTGAGTTCGATGAACCAACTTCAACTGAATAAGACTATGTTTAGCACAGATTGAAGAGCTATGGATACGGCGAATTATCTTGTCCCAATCATTTTCCTCAAAAGTGAACTGTAGTTCTTTTTCCCATTGCTGTTTAATAACAGTACCAAGGGTAGGGCCTAAAGAGAATATGAGGTTATATAATTTAGAAATAATGCTTCTGGCATTAGCATCTATTTCCTTGTCAATGTTTAAGGTGGAGCTACATAGCCAGTACGAGACCTAACATACTAAACCTCCAGAGTTCAAATCTGGTATTTTTAAGGAGAAAGACACTAAAGTGCAAGAGAACTGAGGCTTTTAATGGGAAAGTCCACAAATTTTTCAAAATTTCTCCATAACTCAGTGATTAAGATATAAACAAAGTCATTCAGAATGTGAAATAATTCCTTTGTAGAGCAACTTACCAACACCACTCTTTACAGTGGGGGTGATGGGAACCAGAGGTCCCAATGTCTACAATGCAAATATAGCCGTTTTATTTACCTTTCAAAACCACCAGTGAACCTACACGTGTCTGAGTCTTTAACATAATGTTGATGATGGTAAATTCTGAAAATAACAAGTTTCTTTGGGGACTATTTGGCCTTACAACAACACCCTTCATGTATCCCTCCACCATGATTGGATTAAAATACATTGATTAAAATACATTGATGATTTTCACACAGTGTATAAAGCAGCCGCTGTGTTTAAATGATTAAAAAAAAGAGTAATAATAAAAATGAAAAAATAAAGATACGTCTTTTTTTGGACAGAGACAGCCGTGCTGGTCTATGCAGGTTTTTCCAGCAGTGAAGCGGTCATAGGTGTATATTTATTAAGTATTTTAACAGCTTCGAACAAGTTTCAATCAGATTTTACAACCAGAGCATTTTAGAAATTATGGTTTGGAGCAGAAGACTCCACCATGATTAGGTTAAAATACATTTTAGACCAAAACTCTGTCACAGAACTGCCCTAAAATCAGAGGCTCAGGCGTCAGGCAAGGCATTCACAAGCATTTCATGAAGTAACTTTCTGTGTATGAGCTTTTAGAGGTGGACGTCTGGTTCCTATCACCACCACTGTGAGCAATTCTAACTCTGCAAGTTTCTCTAGAACTGAGCATTTCACACCAAACCACTCTGAACCACTTTGCTTTAATTATGCAGACATTTTGTTCCCCTTTAATAGAAGTTTGCTGCAGTAACAGTCTCTGCTCTTCTGGGAAGGCTTTACACTAGAAGTTGGAACATTGCCGTGAGGATTTGGTTGCATTCAGCCGCAAGAGCCTTAGTGAGGTCAGGTACTGATGTTGGATGGTCGTTTCTGGACACTCCAGCTCGTATCAAAGGTATTGGATGGAGCTCCATCACTCCATAGAATGCGGCTTCGCTGCTCCAGACATACCGACTAGCGGATTTTCACTAGTGTGCACTAGATAGTGTACAAGTGTGCAGCCCTATTGGAACTCACCCTGTAACTGGCAAGCAGTGAGGCGACTCCGTTGCCACGCCTCTCCTAAGCTTCGACCAATCAGCGGAGGCCGTGGCCGCCGCGTCGTCACGCTGAATGTGGTGACGTGGTGAAGTTGGTTAGCAAATACAAGCGACACAGCGACGAGTAAATGGGAAATACGGGGATTTACGTCTGACCGAGCGGTTTGAAATAAACCGAATTTGACGGAAGATGGATGTTAGATGTGTTTCTGTTGGTCGGAGCTGAAGGTAAAGGGTTTCTGTCGCTGTGTGTCCGAAACGGGGATCCTAGCTGAGGGCTATCAGGGCGCTAGCTTCAGGCTCAGCTAGCGTTAGCTTAGCTGACCAGCTGATGGCCTGACGACCTTTATAATCCGGCTGATCGACCTGACAGCGTCGTATTTATGTGTGGTTTCAGTCATTAAACTGTGCGCGATCATGTGAGCAGAACATTAAACTTAATTTTATATCAATACAGCAGCAGTTAGCATCATTACGCTGGACTGGAACAGCATTGTGAGCTGGGGCTGGGCGAGATGGCAAAACTATTATATCACGATACTTCAACACATTTTACCGCTCGATATAAACAACACGATATTTAGTCTGTCTGAGATTTAATAAGCTGTAACAGTCAAAATAGAACCTGTTACGCCGTATAAAAGATACTGTAATAATAATAGTGATAATTTTGACCGGGCAAAATGACAGTATATATTGTTTATGGCGAAAAACTGTATGAAAATACAGTCCAAAATGCCTTTCTGAGTGTATTGTCGATATATCGCTGTCAACATCAGTGTCAATCTGTTGCGTTTATGTGCACAACGTCTAACCGAGTCAATCTGATGGATTTTACGTAGAAAGCTTGTGATTCAGATCGAAGCTGGCTGGTGTCAAGTCAACTAACCATTACAGTGGTCATTCTATAAGTCCTGAAGTTCAAGTTAGGGGAGTAACAGTAGTAGGATGGCAGAAAGTTGCTCTTTAGGCCAGAGTAACTGTTAGTGCTGTCATGATACTGGATTTCCAACTTTAATACTGTACTGTGAAAAGTATCGACGTTTGATACAATTTTTGATACTTTATGAAGGTGGGATCTCCTGTAACTGTCAGTTTTAAAAAAATTAAAGTCAACTATAGATTGCTCTCGGTTAACCGTGCTTACAAAATCACCAGAATATTTCAGGTTAGCTTCACGTTAGAGCAGGGGGGAACTAAAAACACTAAAAGGGCCATTTTGAAAAAGCTCACCAAATCAGTGGGCCAGAGAACGACTACGTTTTGTTTCATTTTTAATTAACATTTTGCCATAAACCTTGAAATATTACATAAATACTTGAAATATTCAAAATGTAAACGTCCCCAGGAGCTCAGTCTTTTAAACCTACCTGTTTGCCTAAACTAGAGCACCAGGCATCCTTTCCTTGCTGCAAGTTCATTAAGGCTTGGGCTCAATTTCTAAGCAGCTGAGATGACGTTAAGTGTTTATATTGGCTGAACTGCAGCTGAAATGCAGCTAGTGTGTTTGGTGGTATGACTGGTGTGAAACTGTGTAGAATTGAGGTGTAACTGCTGTCCCATAGACTGTTGTTGAGGTAGAAGAGTCGGTGTGCAGTGCACGCTGGGGGCTGTAGTGCGTTGCATTGTGAAACGGGCTAATATTAATAGAAAATTAAGGTACTTTTCCGGGCCACATAGAATTATGCCTTGTGTTAGAGCTTCAGAAACGCCTGGTGGCCCATTTACATGAGCTTCTGAATGTTGATTACAATGAGATTCGAATACAGTTGCAAAACTCTAGACATACGCTGTCTTAGCATAGCCATGATTAATGTAGAAACCTTTCGATTCATATGATATGATGTGGATGGTGTCGATCCTATGGACAATGAGTGTTGGTATTGTTGTATGTATTGGCTGATCAGCCATAATCAGCCATTTATAAGTCATTTACGTTTACAGCATTTAGCAGACGCTCTTATCCAGAGTGACTTACAAGAAGTGCTTTGTTGTCTGTCTAGAGAAAGTGTCTTTGCCTGTTACAAATAGATTAGAGAGAAAGCCAGTCCTGAGCTCAGGCACTGCTAGAAACAGAAGTCCGTGTTGATACCTGGAGAAAAAGGAACAGAGTTAAACACAGCGCAGTGCAATATCATACATTTCAATAAGTGCAGTACAGTACATTACAATGAATAGTCAAGGTTGCATGACTGAAGTCAAGATTGACCGGTCGAGACTGCGACTATAGGAAATGATCATAAAATGTGCCACAGCACAACAAAACGTTAGTATCCTCTTTTTTTTAAACAGTTAACCCCGTAAGGAAAACTCCACATGAATCATTTATGGTGGTTGAGATGTAAACAGACTCATTCAGAGAGGTTTGGTGTGAAATGCTGATTGTAGAGACTCTGATTTCTTTACAGTGGTGGTGATAGGAACCAGGGGTCGCCATGACTACAACACAGATATAGCCATTTTATTTACTATCCAAAACCACCAGTGAACCTACACGAGTCTTCTGAGTTTTTACGTCAAATGGTTATGATGGAAAAGTTCTGAAATTCCGAAATTAGTTTTCCTTAGGGACTATTTTGCCTTACGACGCCCTGCAGGTACCCATCCCGCCACTAATGTGTTTAAAAAAGGCTGTAGGTGTATGTTATAACTTTCTGTGAGCAAGAGTTAAGATGCTTTAAAAGGGGAATTCCATCAATATTTAAAAAACTCTGCATGGTTAAATTTCTAATATGTAAACAAAGTCAGAGTGGTTTGATATAAAATGTGCTGTTCTAAAGAAACCTAAGCAATCAGAATTATTCACAGTGGTGGTGATAGGAACCAGATGTCTGAAGCATTTAATGCCACTGAAAGCTCCCTCACAGAGAGCTATTACAAAAAGCAGTTACAGTTATGGTTCCTGATAACTGAGGTGCTGTTTTATGATAAGAAAAAGAAGTAAGTAAGGAGAACTGAAGGCACAGTGTTCACTCTCTCTGTCCTAATGCTTTGTTTTTTTATATGTAATATCTTTCAGAGTAAAATCTACAGGCAGCCAGACAGCGATGAGACAGCTGCGTCCTGCATGTGAAGACTGTTCAGCATTAAGAGCATCTTAAAGCACGCTGAGCCACAGGAGGCGGCTGGAAGGAACTGCTTTGCACGCTGTCGGGATGTTTGCGAAGCTGAAGAAGAAGATAGCGGAGGAGGCGGCCACGGGCCCTCGCTCCGGCCGCATGCCCCGCTCCATGAGCAAAGAGTCCATCACGTCTGTGGGAGCGGACTCTGGGGACGACTTCGTGAGTGCAGCTCCTCCTTCTCTTCCCCTCTCTCTCTCTCTCTCTCTCTCTCTCTCTTTCTGTCTCGTCCTCTCTCGGTCACACAAATGTCTCTCTTTCTCACCCTCACTTACACTCCCGCACATTTCATACACACAGTCACTATTGAACTGTCTGTTGTCACATGCTTTGTTCTTCAAGTGCTTCATAATTGCACTTGCCTGTTTCCTTTTGAATGCCTTTAAAGGGGAACTCCACCAGTTTTTCTAGATTTGTCCATGATTAAATGGTTAAGATGTAAGCAAAGCCATTCGGAGTGGTTTGATGTCAACTGCTCCGTTCTAGTAAAACTTATCGACTCATTTTCTTTACAGTGGCGGTGATAGGAACCAGACATCTGACGAGTTGAATGAAATGGTTGTGATTATGCCCGCTGATTCCTATCGCTACCACTGAATTAAGATTGTTTTTCAATACATAAAAACCCTCAAATGTTGGTAGTAGACGGTAGTAGATGGTGAGAAGGATTAGGTAAAATACAAGAAATATGTAGGAAATAAGCCCTTTAAACAAGTCACTTAAAAATAACCTAATATTAATGTGGGAATTGTGGGCTGGTGATGATATCTGATATTTTTATGTACAAATCTGAAGATCCTGAAACATAATTGTTTACGAATTGAAGAAATTTGGGCTAAATCCATCTGAATTTGCAGACTAGAGCTTCTAGAGTATAATAAATACATCAAGTAGTGGTTTGAAAAATTTGCCAAATCTAAACATTTAAACACGTTGCTGATATTTTATTTATAAGCAAATATCTACATAAAATCTATTGAGCATCCCTTATAGTAACCGAATAGGGTAATTCTGCTGATTTTGTGAAGTGATGACATTTTTTTTTTTCATTAAATGGTTGCAGGTGAGGGTCTAGCCTGTAGGCTCACAAGTCTGTTCAGACAACTCAGGTGGAATGGATCTACTCTTCAGAGGCTTTTGCACAAGCTTAAAGCAAAGTTAAAGCAAAAGGGCAACAAACCAAGCATTAAAAAGTCATGTAAATGGTCATCAGTTCTACCTTTCACACAAATTTTTATGCTGTTAATATCATTTGTAATGAGAAACCTTGTATTAAATTCAAAAGGAATGCAAAATAGAAGCATTTTCACCAGTGCTCTCAGACTTTTGGACCCCACTGTAAATGTCTGCATGTGTATAGCTCGATAGAGAGGTAGGTCGATAGGTATATTTTTGTGCGTTATACTGTTTTCTAGTTACTTTTGTGAAATGCATGTAAGGCATTGTAAAGAATAGTATTTAGTGTTTAACAGAAAACTGATGTTCCCCATCATTCTACCATTGTCAATAGTTTTACTTTTATACAAAAACAAAACTAGCTATCTTTGCACTGTAGTGACTCCTGCTTCCTGTCACTAACATTGAATACATAAAGAAATGTAAAGAAAGTCAAGATGCTGAGTTTCTCTAGAAGGTCTGTTGTCCTTTAAAAATTTGTTGATTGCTTCTCTACAAGCAGATTATGCTGAATTTTGTAAACATGGATGGAATTCCCCTTTAGCACCTAACCTCACGAATACCATGAGTTCACAAAATGTTGAACTCTCAAACAAGTTCTGAACTCCATTAGAGGGTGATTTTTTATTTATTTATTATTTTTTTTATGATTTCCTCACAGAACTGTTAAAAAGGTATTATTGCTGCTCCATGGACTGAATTTCACAAGTTTATCAGCATATCAACTGATTTTATCAGCCAAGTGTGTACAGCCGTATGCAAAACACCACCAAATTAAACATTTTCTACTATGTTGCTGTCGGAACAAACCTTGTAATTGTGTATTAAAACTTTCAGTGTGTTCCCCATAGAGGATGTGTTAACTTGCTTACACTTAGAAAAATCAACAAAACATATAATTTGACCAGATGTGCCCAAACTTTTGTCTACAGCTGTGTGTGACAGATCTTCAGAGAAAGTAGTGATACAGTGGATTACAGCATCCTGTGTTGCGCAGTAGAAAGTGAAGTGCATCATGTTTGCCCAGCACTTGTTTACTAAGAGCTCCACCCAGCTGGAGGAATGAGTGCAGTATGACGAGCATCCAGAAGGCCACTTCTCTTTATCAGCAAACCTGTGCAACCTGATGCTTTTCTGGATTGTAGAGCGCTCCCACACGCAGGACTGGCCTCACTGAATAATTGAAGCTGGATGGAGATCACACAGGTGTATCAGTAGCAGGTCTGAACTGAAGCTTGACAGATGCCCTTAGGCTGCACTGATTGCTTATTGTAGCTTGTAATGCAGTTACAAGCTCTAATTCTTTACTATAAAAGCAATTAAATGTGCACAGTTTTGCCTTTTACCCCAGATACAGTCAGTCAGTCTAGACATGTTCAGTGTCTGAAGTTTGCTTCAGTAGTTTTACTCTGGAGCGATGAAGGTAATGCAGCTAACAATTAATGGAAGCCTATCGCCTACCAATTAGCATCATACCTAAAGCATCAGGCACATGTTTCAGGTTGTTAAGTAACATCAAATAGACTTGCTAATGTGCTCTGTCATATAAAAACAAGCATACAGAATTACAGATGCACTATTCACTCTTCACATATTCATACTAACCTATTATCTTGATAGGCTTCTCCCAGTAGTCATTGAGTGCGTTTACACACGCTCAGTAATCTGATCATAATCGGATTTATGCAGTCTGATTATTCAATCGGTCATGTAAACAGCACACTCTGATTTCTTAGATCAGAGTAAGGTCTAGAAACCTGATAAAGAGGCTGGATTTTAGCTCAGTAATCAGATTTCTCAGTGCATGTGAACTCTTACTCTGATTTCTTTCGGATTTCTCAGTCTGAGCATGTGCGAAAACAGACGGCGGTACCAGAAATAAGCAAGCAGAGTCGCGAGACGCAGCAAAACACTTTTGGAGCGGCGCTGAAACCAAATACATGCTTGACGAAATAAAGGATTGAAATATTCTTCATCTTCTAGGTGATGTACGTTCATATTTTCAGGTAAAGTGGCGCAAAAAAAAAAGCTGCAGCATTAAGTTTTACGTTACATTACGTTTACGTCACGCCTTCTTCTGTGAGTTTATTGGCTGGTTGCAAAGCAGATATCTGATTACTGTCTGACTCACGTAGACCCAGAGTTTCCCCATTGTCTGATTACTCAAGAGCATGTAAATGCATTGATCAGATTACTGACAAAATCTGATGTTCTGCAGTTATCAGATAATTAAGTGCAGTAGTCACAGGTTTTCATAGATCTGTTTCTCATTGTTACTCAAATAGGCTTCTAACAGCAGTGACTGGTTTGCATTGGTGAATTTATATTCTGGTTTCTTTTTCTCTTTTTCTCTTTTTCTCTCTACATGTTGCTCTTGATGTGTTATTGTTCTGCCGTTCTCTGTTGACCAGAGGAGGATGGGTTCCCCTTTTGAGTCTTGGTTCCTCTTGAGGTTTCTTCCTCTTGCTCTTAGGGAGTTTTTCCTGCCACTGTGGCCCGTGATGACGCTCACTGGTGCTTGGGTCAGGATTTTCTACAAAGCTGCTTTGTGACAACGCCTGCTGTAAAAAGTGCAATATAAATACATTTTGACTTGATGTTGACTTAGTTCAGGGTTTACTTTGGTTGATAAAAATGGTTCTTATTAAAAAGTGAAGGGACATCCTGGAATAATAAGTTATTTTTTCAAATAAAACCAGTTTAGATGCTTAAGTAAACCTTCAGAAATCAATTATGCCACAATAAAACTTTTTGGTCTTACTGCCCACTAACAGGTAACAGTATCTAATACTGTCAGTAGAGGAGCTGATTTTTCACCTGCTGCTTTTTCAGTTTCTTTCCTAAGTTAAACTGCATTCAAAACATTTTCTTTCATGAATTTCGATGGGCCAGATATGGCAGTATCTGTCTTTGTGTGCTGTAATAACATCCTAACGTGTTTCTTGTTTGTGTTATCAGGCGTCGGACGGCAGCAGCTCCAGAGACGACCTCTCCTCTCAGATTCTGCGCAGGAACGATCAGATCCGAAAGCTGGAGGCCAAACTCTCAGGTATCTCCCACAGCTTTACACATCATACACACCAACTGAATACAGTGTTAACCCTTAGAAGTGTAGAGTTAGTACTGTTCTTTCACTTTACTACATAAATGTATTACTGTAATCAGGTAAATTATTATGTTTATGTATTACAGGTGCATTTAACTTATTTCTGTATCGGCAGGTTAAAGTCTACAGAGCTCTTTCACAGATTTCATTTTAATCAATATCAAAACTGTTCTGGTACAAAATTGTAAATTGTTTTTCTTTCTGTAGAACAACTCATTTATAAAAGTTGTGTGTGAAAGTTTCCTCGGTCAACTTGCATATTTTGTTGATTATCTAAGAGAAAATAACTTAACGCATCCTCTGCAGAGAACACACTTCTGCACAATTAAATACACATTTATAGATTAGTTGCTGAATTTAACATATTGGAAACAAATTGGTCTGTCCAAAAATTAAGGTACATTTTATATTTTTTGTTTTATTTTTTTCCCAATATGTTAAACTCAGCAAATAAATATAAATTGTGGACTAAAAATTGTACAAAAATGCCATATTTAAGTGTGTTTTCTGCAGAGGAGGTGTTCACTTACTTTCACTTACAAAAGCAACCAAAAATGTCATTTGATTTGATTAGACCGCATGAATAACAGTAACTTTACATCAAATTCAGTTTATAATTGAATATCTTATTGTTAGGAGCAAATTTGTGGTATTGAAGTTTTATCAACAGAATTTTTAACACAAAAATAACTAAAACCTGATTTCGTGAACAACCAGTGTGAAATATTTCATTCAAAATTCTACTGTGCTTTTGTTATGTGGGTAAAACTTTGACTTCTAAGGGTTAATAAAAGAGCACACTAGATCCACAACCTGTCAATAATTTTAGTTTAGTACAGATTAAGGTATGAAATAACGTTTGTACTGTTAAATCTGCAGGATTATTGTTATTATAATTAATGCAATTCAGAACTTTTCATCATTTTTTTTTTTCCAAAATCCGTTTTGTATAAACATTTCATGATAAATAGATGACTATAAAAGGTCCAGAATTACTTTGCATAAAACTCTATGTTAATGTATTTTAACTGACAATGTAATGTACGTTACATTTTATCCTCCTATAAAATAACCATATTGTAAAGGAAAGGTTTTTTATATGTAGACCAACAGTGTTTTTTCCAATGCTCATAACTAATTAAAGAGAAAGTGAGGAGTTCTGTCATGTGACTTCCCTGTCCCATCCTGAAACAGCCCAACAGAGGCTGTAAAGGAAAAATGAGTTTAACAGGGCTCCTATTACACCTGATTTGAGTCTAGAACGGTCCCAGAGCCAATGTAGAGCAGATTTAGCAGGACAGGATGAGTGTCTGTGGTTAGTAGAGGCTGAAGTGAAGGCAGCATGATTTTCTCATCTCAGAAAATCATTCTGATTCTCCCTCCATTTTAGGGATGCACCGATTCAGACTCTCTCCTGATTTCGATATCTCTGATAGTAGGACTGTTAAAGGGGCACTCTGACCAAAATAAATGAAAATAAATGTAACCATCTGTTGTAAACATGCTTACTTGGCTTCTGTAGCAGAACCTCAATAGTCTTGAGAGATTTTCTGGTTTTAAGAGTAGAGAGACTCCCTTCTGGTGATGTAGCTTGAAGGTAGGAGGAGCTTTTGAGAAGCTAAGGTTCTGTTCACGCAGCAGGTAAAAGTGCCCCAATCTGATTTTCTCACCAAATCCAATTTTTTTGTGTGGCTGTTCACAGTATCTTTTAAATGTGATCTGTATGCGACATCAGTCTGAACAGATCAGCTCCTAAACCGACCCACATGTGTAAAAGAACGAAGCTTCAGGTTGCTCCACGCGGCTCATCCAGAAGTAAACAGTCATGACTGCCAACGAACGCCAGTCGCTACCGGAGGTTCAGCTTCGTCTTCACCAGCATCACAGGAGCCATCATGAAGCTTCACTGACTGACAGCTGGGCTCATGACCCAGAATGTGTTCCAGCTCGCCGTAAAAAGACTGCGGTCACTTCTCTGGTTCGTCTCCTCGGATTCTTTAAACGTTCAGGCTTTTAACTGTTCTTCGGAAATCTCTTCAAACATGGAGGGTTTTGGATACGTCTCTTCTAATTTTTTAGTACAGAAACATCAGCCCAAATGTTTATGACCTCAGCAGCGTGAAATTTTGACGAATGTCGAGTTGGATTGACGTAAAAGTCGCATGAATTCCGATCTGTCTGTTCAGACTGAGTCGCATTGCTGCACATTGGTTACGTATCGGATTTCAGTACCACATATGAAAGCATCTCAGATCAGAAAATGTCAGATTCAATGTGTTTCTCGCTGTTCACACTGAAATACGGACACACATCTGTGTCACATATGAAGAAAAAGATCAGATTTGGGGCACTTTTACCTGCTGTGTGAACAAAGCCAGAGGGAAGCCAAATGACTGCCTTACTGCTAGGAAGCCAAATATCACGTCTGTATTTGTAAGTCTCCTCATCAGTGGTACATCTTTATTGTTTCTTTATTGCTGAGGGGGGATCCCTACTGGTTGTGTGACATACTTACCATATTTGACATGCTGGGTATTGTAGTGAGAGAACTACATACAAAACTGTATAATGTGTCAAACCGAAAGATGCAGGAAGCTGCAGTGCTGTGCTGTAGAAAACAACATTACATGACAAATTACATATTAAATGCTATTTTTTTGTGTTTTGTAACAGCAAAATACATCAACATAAATATCTAGTACCATACTAAAAATGACAGCTAAGAAACATCATCAAATGTGGATCGGTTGCGTCTGACAGTCATGATATTTGCTACATTGAATAATCTGATACCGATCGAGAGTATTGTATCGGTGCATCACTCCATTTACTTCTCTTCTCAACCATTTTTATCCCTTTGTTTTCTCCACTTGTTTTTTGTCCTCTCCCCCCCTCCTTCCTACCTGTGGACCCACATCCTCTTTTACCTCTCCCTGCGGTGTGCGTGTACATACCCATACCTCAACACTAGACTACGCTGAACAGCTTCGGCTAATGCAGAAGACCAAGGACAAGCTTGAGATTGCATTAGAGAAGCATCAGGATTGTACGTACCGTTCTTTTCCTCCCCTCTCCTTCTCCCTCGCTCCTTCTCTCTTCTTTGCATTTGTTTGTCTGCTGCTTATGTTCACGCCTCAGCCCCTCCCCCCCTACATATACACCTGGTCTGTGGTCAGTCTTGCTACTGTTTAATTGATGATTTATTAGTACTTTATTAATTACTAATTCTGCCTTGGCCTAGCTCTGGATAAGAATGTCTGGTAAATGCATACATGTGTATATACTTACCACCAGTTGTTCACAGTGGTGGTGTTAGGAACCAGATTTCTGAGGAGTTTAAAGCCTCTAAAAGCTCCCTCACAGAAGGTTATTACATGAACTGCTTATGAATACACTGCATGATGCCTGAGACATTGTTTTATGACAGTTTTGAGAAGATTTTGGGCTCTTGTAATACAGAACAATGCTGTTGTAATACATGCAGAATGTGGTTTGACATTGTCATGCTGAAATAATCAAGGCCTTCTCTGAAGAAGACGTTGTCTGGATGGCAGCATATGTTGCCAAAACATGTATATATCGTTCAGCATTAATGGTGCCTTCACTGATGTGCACGTCACCCATGCCATGTGCACTAATGCCCCCCTATACCATCATGAATACTGACTTTTGAACTGTGCGCTGATAACACGCCGAGTGGTCTTTAGTCCAGAGGACACAGCGTCCATGATTTCCAAAAAGAATTTCAAATGTTGATGTTATTCACAGAGTGGTGAACCCCTCATCATCTTCACAGCCTCTCTGGGATGCTCATTTACACCCAATCATGTTACTCACCTGTTGTCAGTCAACCACCAGGTGTTTTTTTAGCATTGCACAACTTTACCAGCCTTTTGTTGCCCCCATCCCAACTTTTTTGGAACTTGTTGTTGGCATCAAATTCAAAATATATATTTTTCAACAAACAATAAAATTTCTCAGTTTCAACATTTGATATCTTGTTTTTGTACTATTTTCACTGAAATATAGAGGTTAAATCATTTGCACATCATTTTGCATCAGCATTTTGTTTTTTGTTTACATTTTGCACAGCATCCCAACTTTTTTGGAAATGTGGTTGTGTTTTGAAATGTGTGATAAGTGCAGGGTGGCAGACAAAAATAGTCCCCAAACAAGAAACTTTTTTTTTTTTTTCAGATTTCCCGCTATTTTATTATTATTTTCGTTATATATAAAAACTTAGAAGGCACTTGTTGGTTCACTGGTGGTTTTGGATAGTAAATAAAATGGCTATGTTTGTGTTGTAGACATTGTGAGCCCTGGTTCCTATCACCACCACTGTAAAGAAATCAGTCAGTAAATTTCTCGACAGCGACCCATTTCACACCAAACCACTCTGAATGACTTTGTTAACTTCTAAATGATTAAATTACACAGAAATTTAGAAAAATCAGTGAAGTTCCCCTTTAACAACTCAAAACAGTTTGAGGCAAGTATATACTGATTTAGGCTTGCACTTTGCGATAGGCTAATTTGTGCTAATTGGCTGCCTTGGAGCTCTGATGCAAAACTGTAGCACAGCAAACTTTAAACATCAAACATGTCTTGGTTCATCGACTCCATCAGTGATGAGGAGAAGATTGTATAAATTGGACTTTCCAGCAAAGTATTTCTTTAAAAGGCTAATTCAATAGGCACATGTGAGGGTTGGCTGGCTTAAAGGCAGCAAGGCTCCTGCTGTGTTTATATTCTGAGTGTGAGCAGGTGCGGTCGGCCCATATATGAAGGTATCTATGCTGAAAATCATGAATACAGATAATTTAAGTGCGTGGATTAACACAAGGCTTTCTCTAATAACTTTGCAAAAGTTGTTATCAGGAATATAAAAGGTTTCACGATGAATACATATATATATATATATATATATATATATATATATATATATATATATATATATATATATATATATACATATATATGCATGTTGTACTAACAAACTCCCACTAACGCTCCCAGGTTCCTGCTAAGATGAATGTATTTGTCTTTAAAATATCGCTCTGCCCTTTTTCAGCAGCTTGTTCATTATATCCAATATATACACTTCTGTTATCATGCTTTTATTTTGGAGAAGAAAGTGTGTCTTTTGTGGCACATTCTGTCAGGGCCCGTCTTAAAATCCTTCCCTTTTCCTTTTTTCTGCACTGTTTTTTTCTGTTGTCAACTTGCATCATCAAGAAAACCCTTTTATGTTTATTTTATGAAATGCATAACAAAAAGTTGCAGTTTTTCAGAAGTTTTCTGATGGATGTAATCAACCTAAGGGTGCCGTTTCGTAATCTTTATATTTCCTTGCTTTGTGAAATCAGCTAACCTCTACGGGTGGGGAAACATCGATACAGCATTTTATCACGATATTTTGTATTACAGTATTGTATCAATACAAGATGCCAAGTATAAAGTATTTTATATAAATTGCAAATAGAAATGAATTTTTTTTGGTACTAAAATAATACAATCGATTGCTTTTTCAGTCCACTAGATGGTGCTGAGATTTTTCTGGTGAGGTCAGTAGAGGTGACAGTCAGCGGAGGGTCAAAGGACATGGATATGACACGTGCTGTTGCAATGAGTGTTGTATGAAAATAAAATACTCTGGGGAAATACTACGAGCATGAGGGCTCACCTCACACGCCACCATTCAGAGACAACCGGCAAACAAGGCTGAAATTGGCTTCCCATTCAAATTTTCCCATTCCACCTTAAACGGTGCAGCAGTGCTGCAAAGTCTCTAGCAGTCACCCATAACCACAGTTTCACAGGGATAAAAGAGAGCTTCTTCTTTGAGTTTTCAGCTTCTTATTCGCCAGCTTATTGTGTCCCATTCCACCTTAAATGGTGCACTACATTCTGCTGCCTCCAGTGCCAGAAAATAACTGCTGCACCAGTTAAGGTGGAATGGTTAAATTCAAAGAAGAAGCTGTTCAAATAAACAAATGAGAAGCTGATTTTGGGCTGCGTTCACATTACCAGGTTGAAGTGGCACAAATCAGATTGTTTTGGCCCTAATGTGACTCGGATCTGATGTTTTCAAATCCACCTGAGCCACTTTCATATGTGGTCCTAGATTGGATACGTATCCAATTCATGGCCATGCGACCTTAATGTGACACTCAGATCGGAATTCATGAGCTTTTTCTCCACTGCGCGTGCGCCATCATTCAGCGTTACCATGGCAACAGCTGGGAACAGAAGTTAAAGCCTGTAAACGGTGGAAAAGCAGCTCATCTCACCTTTTTCTCCTTCGTCTCGCTCTAATAATGAAGCTGAGAGCTGATCAGAGTTAATTATCTTCAGCGAAGCCCGTTCTGCTCGTTAGTTTGTGCTGATGATGCACGTGATTCATTCACAGACCTTACTGAGTAGGATGAGCTCATGAGGGTCATTCCAGGACGCCGGTTCGTCACATTAATGACAGATTTGAGTCACTTACCTAAACGAGTGTGAACCATCGTGTCAGATCGGATTTGAGCAGAAAATCAGATTTGAGCAATTAGGCTTGTAATGTGAACGTAGTCTTGGTTTGTTGATGGGAAAGTATAATGTTAATTCAGCTCCACCCAAAAATCAGCGTTCCAGGTCTGAGTGAGCTAAGAAAATAGCGTAATCCGTCACCTACTTCATGTGCGAAGGCCTGCGTCCATACAGTGTTGTGCAAAACGAAGGTTTTTGTTACATACTCAAGACACAGGAACCCAGGTGTGGGTTTTACCCACACAGCCGTACCCAGGCTCTGCAGAGAAGTGAAGCTTAAACTTCAGGAATCTTTCAGTACAGCAGAAAGGACTGCATTAACCTGAACATCAAGGGCAGTGGACTCCTACATGACTATCACAGCGAGTTATCTCACTGAGGACTGAAAACTGCTGCCTCACACTCTCCAAACTAGAGCAGTACACTAAAGTTACACCAGGGCAAACATTGCAGACCTCCTGCAAAATGTAGCACCAGAATGGGAGACTGCCGACAAAAACCTGGTGGTTGTATCTGCAGTTGAAAAGCAGTAATAAATCGCAGTGTGTTTAAAATCGCGTATTGTGGCTTGAGTATGGTGATAATATCGTATCTTGGGCCTTTTGCGATTCCCACCCCCACTAACCACTAAATGCTGCTTTCTTTTTTTTTTACCTCAGTTTTTCAGTCTTGGATTTTCTCAAAGCCTCTGAAACTGTAACCCTTAAACTCTGTGAGCCTGTCATGTCTTTTTGTTCTGGCTTTTTTTTAGCATCTATGCGGAAGTTGCAGGAGCAGAATGAGTCCTTCCAGGCCAACAGAGCCAAGATGGCAGAAGGCATGGCTTTAGCATTGGAGAAGAAAGATCAGGTGAGTTTTAAGGAGAATGTGCTGATTTGGGTTAAGGGACTAGATGTTGCAGCGTGACCCTGAAGTTATACTCTTTTTCTTGTTTGTTTTGCAGGAATGGATGGAGAAGATGGCAGCTTTAGAGCAGGTAAGGAAAAGTCTATTTTATTACTGTAGTTATTGTTTTTCAGGGGCCATGTACAGAACCTAGTCTCAACTGAGAAAAGATGCTTTGTGCCAGAATTAGCTAACCAGCTCATTTTTATTTGCACTCACTGGGAAGTTATTAATGATTAGTGAAATCAGCACATAATAGGGGTGGGAATGTTTAGGCACCTCACGATTCGATTCGATTACGATTCAGAGGCTGCGATGCCATTATAAACGAATATCGCTTCCTCTTGATGCATCTTTTTTTCTATACAGGATTTCTTTTTTCTCACTGTGTGAGACTTGGTACTTTTTAAAGCAAAGTATTTGTAATGATCCGTAATGAATTTACTTCCAATATCTTTTATTAATAAATCAAACGGGAGTGATGAGGCAAGTGAACTGGAAGGCTTTCATTCACTCTTCTTGTTTGGAGACGCTGCTGCCACTCATCTGCTATAAAATACGCTGTTACGGTGAAATAAGATCCAGAGGCAGTGGATGTCCACGCAGCACATGTTACAGCTGTCCCATCCGTGTTTTTTTGATTTTGTAACTTCGGTTTTGGTCTCGTTGTAGAGAGTGTGGGGGGATCACTGTGCCAGTAAAATATCTTCGAGACGGGACGCTGAATCTCAGCTCCAAAGTGTGCAACATAGTGCGAAAGCCCCGGTTCTGAGAACTGGCGTGCAGACTGCTGGTCACATTGCAGCGCAGTCTCGTCTAGCTAGTAGCTTACAAAAAGGCAAAGAGAGAGATTTGAGACGAACATTTGGAGACCAGTGGACTCATTCGCATTTGTAAGCAGCGCAGTTGGTTTCCTGGAATGTTAAACCTGCAATGAGAGGCTGTCAAACAGGAAAAAGTTGCAATGATGAAGTCAATTTCTCTTTTGAATTTCGAATTGCAGTAACTATTCATTTGACCCATCGTTCATGTAGCCATTTTCAAACCTCTCCTTATAGCTGCCTGGTAATATTTGTACTTATCACCCAAAGCCTGTTCAATAAAATGAGGTGTGCTGATGATGAAATTGAAAAAAATCCATGTGATAGGTTGTTGGTAGCACTGAGAAGAAATCCAGAGCCACGCTCTGTTCGTGTTCTTCAAATATCATTGGTTACTTTCTTGAAAACTTCTTGATACTGAAAAAATCTTGTTACTTTTTCTTGTATTTATGTGTATCTGCATTTATTATTAATTGATTATAACATTGTTTTTTTCTTTCTCTCTCTCTCTCTCTCTCTCTCTCTCTCTCTCTCTCTCTCTCTCTCTCTCTCAGGAGAAAGCCTCATTAGAAGCTCGTCTGGGGCAGAGTTTGAGTCTGTTCCAGAAGAGGGATGAACAGGATGAACTTGAAGGTTTCCAGCTGCAGGAACTGGCCAAAGTCAAACACATGGTGAGAGATTACAGTGTAAACAGACATACTCGACGTTGCAGTGCATCATGCACCGTATTAGCATGAGACAGCCTTTCTAAAGCTTTCATACACTCCCCGTCCACTTCATCAGAAACCTTGTCCTTGTAGCTGGTGTACAGTTAGAGATTGTAGCCCATCTTTGTTTGTGTTAGTCATCCTCTAGTCAGTATCACTGCTGTGCTGAGACATTTTGTGTGTCTTGGTTCTACAGAATTCTAATAATAATTTTTAAGCGACTTCAAGAAAGAAAGCTCAGTTATTTGAGTGTGGACGCATGCAGAGCACAATCCACACCCCCTACCCACCCACTTTACGCTGATAGCGTTCCACGAAGGGCACTGTGTCGCAAACGTTTTTTCAAATTGATAGTGTATTGAAATTATTACGTACATATCAATAGTTGTTTTTCATTGGGTTCTTACAGAGCACTAAAATAATCATGTCAGGGATGCGGCAGTCATGAATTTTTTGTGGCCTATTCCAATTTCTTTTCATCTAAATTTGCCGATAGCGGATTTCTTTGTCCTGTTATTAGTAGCCTTTTTTTTTTTTACCTGAAGCTCACTCACATTTTCATCAGTTTCATCAGTTTCAAGTCCTTTTTGCTCTTTAAAGAGCCAAACTGGCATTTTAAATGACAAATCAGTTGCCTGTTCATATAATATGAACCATAGAAATTGCTACATTACAAATACGGCTGTATGAGTTTATTGTGTGTTTAGCAGAATGAGTGATGTATAATTATGCTACGACATTGTGATACAAGTGTAGCAGCAGCAATCAAATGCAACATGAGTGAACTCACCTGCCTCACATCATGTCCCTCGTAAAACTGCAACACAGATCGGTCAAAATCAAAATAATAAATTACCCAATTTCAGGTTTTGGAGCAAAAATCTGCTGATTCTGATTGTAAACCCTAATTAATGTAAATAGGTCCATATCCTTCATATACTGATTATTCTCCTGATTCTCCTGCAGCTGCTGAGGAAGGAGGAACAGTTGAGTCTGCGTGAGCGTGAACTGAAGCAGAGAGGAGAGGAGCTCAACACGGCCCGTCTGACGCTGACTCAAACCCAGGACAAACTCTACGAGCTGGGAGAGGAGCACGAAGAAATGAGCAGGATCAACTCTCAGCTACGGGCTCAGAGGTACCTGCAGCTCTCTACACTGTCAGTAATCAGCATTCGGGTTGAGCATCGTTTGTCGATCCCTTTTTGGAATCTGGAACCAAATTATTTATCGTGTTTTCATTCCGATTTATTTAATATGAAGACAAATAATCCAAACGTGGACCTAATGGTTTATATGTTATTTATCATTCAGGTTTTCAGTTAAAATACTTGTTTTCCTTATCAAAAGTTGCTTGAAACGCCATGATTAGTTTTTACTCCACCAAACAGAATTAGTTGGGAATTTTCTATGATTAAGAATATCAGTGGAGGTAAAAGGGACCAGGTGCATTTTTTTTTCTTTTTTTTTAAGTAAAAATCTGGTGCGCTCCAGATAATATCAGGTGATCACCCAGTACTATCAAGTGAGCACCAGATACTATGTGTTGAGCACTTGATACTCTCGGGTAAAAACAGTACACATCCTTTCAGGGGCTCCGTACTAAACAATAGTCATGTTGTAAATAAATAAAAGTAAATAATTATCTGTTGAAGTAAATATAGTATAAATATGACTGTCTTTCCAGAGCGCTAGTAAGTGTAACTCTCTCTGACAGAGACGAGTTGCTGAGTGAGAGGGAGGAGGTGGAGAAGAAGATGTCCGACATGGAGGCCAGAGAGCAGGAGCTTCAGCAGCTCATCCAGCAGGTGTCCGAGGACTTCCAGAAGGTAGACACACAGCTTTACACATGCTCAGGGATGTGATAGTAAATTATAATGATTTATAATTACATTCAATAAAGCAGCTCTCATTTTACCGAAATAAAGTCATTTTCAAATGTAAAAATCTAAAAATTAAAAGATATTTGACGTCTATATTCCACAGCTGTGTAAATAGGTCCTCTAGCCACATCTGTTCTCTTCAGAATCATACCAGAATAATTGTGTATAATTTTGAAATTTCATGATGCGTTGAATTCCTAGACAATCAAGATGAATCAACAGAAATTAGGGGTGTGACGATAAATGCAATTTTCAGTTGTCTGGAGTTAAATTTTCAATATTTTATGTGTCAAAAATGTCTTGATTCTACAGACCTCTCATTACACGCTGCACAGATTGGTTCAGCCAAGATAAATAAAAGATCTTCAATAGCTTTCATAACTTTTTTGACGCCCGCCGTGTCTCCCTCTGACAAAACTCCAGCAATTACAAGAATTTGAAATCTCCTCAGGAAAAAGGAAAGTGCCTAATTTTAAGCGTGGGTGTGTGCAGAGCATAAGCCCCACCCACTTTACTTGGATAGGATGAACCACATGCAGGTTGAGGTACATATTGCAGGGCTTTGTACTGTAAAAACAGATTGTTTGCTCATCATAGAGAGTTCAGTTTATCTCTTTATTTTTGTATTAGAATCAGCTGTCTTTAATGTAGAAACACGAAAAAAAATCTAAAGTGTATCTCTGTGTTGTGATGTTTCAGGCTCAGAGTGATGCGAGATCTTTACAGAAGTCGTTGGAATCTCTGCAGGCTGAACACAGTGAACTAAAACTCCAGCATGAACAGCATAAGAACAAGGTACAAACATACACACTGCTCTACCATTACTATACGAAAAGTCACTGGACAAGATACCTAACGTTGCTTATGCCGTTGCCGTAAACTTCTCTTAAACTTTTTGAACTTCAAATGTGAACTATAGAGTGTATTGTATTAAAATGCAGAAAAGTACATTTATCAGGAATACACAAACGTTTTGGCCGACGGTGTCCAAATCTAACACTAACAGATCATTTGAATGAATATAAAAAAGGAGAAACTGTGACTAAAAATGCTGATTGTTTCCTTCACTGTTATACGCTGGTCAGCGCAGACTCATTCAAACAGTTAAAGCAGCAGCAGAGGAAAAATAAACAACCGTATGGAACTATTTCACAATTTCTATGAGGGTCTTTAGACAAGAGATTTATAATCACTGTTCATGTTGAGTATCAAAAGGAGGTGCAACACCCCAGAACTTCTCCACTGCAGGTTTGATTCCATCTGAAAACACGACATCCTGCACGATACGCAGAATACAGCAAAACAACTGGAGCAAAAGTTGAAAAAAAAAAAATTGTATAATTAAAAATATCGAAATATATAATAATAATGCTGTTGTCATTAGAATAAAGTAAACTTTGAATAGTTTATTGTCACATATTGTGTCCAGGATTGATTACAGCATTTCAGCTCGTAGCTGCTGAGAGACTAGGCTTATACTTTGGTTTGTCATAGCACAGTGATGTCATCCTGAATTTGAATATGAGTGCTAATGGAGTCGTGTGATTGGTCAGGCGGCGGTGACGGAGGAAGAGCGAGAGCGGATGTTGGCTGGTCTGCAGGAGAAAGCTCTCTCTCTGGAGCGGAGACTGGAGGCCAACCTCTCTCAGGATGAACATCTACAGGAGCTGCTTAAGGAGGTAAAAACACGTTATACACAGATATTCTAATGCACTGATGATGGGCTTACTTCAGGATTTGTCCACTCTTAGTCCATCTTGATTCATTTAATTGTTCTACATGTTTTTTTAAGCTGTTTGCACTTGGTGTGTTGTATGTCTTGATGCACCTCAGCTGTAATGAATACGCTCTGTTTATTGTGGAGAAGTAACATTACTGAGTCAGGAGAATTAAAACAGGCTGCTGTCGTTGCCCTGTAAAGCCTGCGTTAATAATTTTAAAGTTAAAGGCAACTAACTTACATGGTGTAGCTTCAAAGTCATTGTGAATTCAATTCAGTCCTTCAGCTCTAGATATACTGAATGTTATTGTAAAATACTAGTGGTTTTAAATAATGTAAAATATTAATATTTGTTAATGATTTATTGCAGAGTTATCTATTTTTCAAAATTGTTTATTGTTTTAGCTGGGGATGTGAAGTTTGGCAGATTATTTCAACCGACCAACACACCTAAAATCACAAATCTGCCCCATAAAAGCATCAAACACAGCATTACTTTATATATAAACAAAGCTTTAGGCTTCATTAAGTGAAAAAAAACACAGCCAAAAACAGCAATTTAATGTAGTCTACTTTCCTTTACCACATATTAGCCCAACCTCTTATTGACCAGGGTATATTTTGATTTGTCCATCTGAATTTACATGGCCAAATTATAAGGCAAATTATTCAGTAACTGCATGAAATAAATGTAAATTTTTATTTTATTTATTAGTTTATTTTAAAAGCTCCCCTCAAATTAACAGAATGTGTTTTATGATCACACATATTGCTATATGCTTACAATTTACTGCTGAAAGCCAAAAATCTTAGACGGTCTTTGTATTTTTTTAATAAAAATAATTGTTACAGAGCAGATCACTGAAGAGACGCCATCTGTTTATAGTTTATAGCCCAGATTTGTGGGAAAATGGGTCGACTTTCAGTAGACAAAAAAATGTGAGTTCAGCTTCTTTTATTATAAGGGTTTAAAATTACATCACCCATCTATTTGACTGGAAAGAAGACAGTTACAGCTCTCATACGACCCCCACCTTCTGAATGTAGCTTATGAAATATGAAAGTTATGAAGAATATGACAAAGTACGTTTTGGAACCACCGGTGGTCTCAAGGAGTTGAAAAGGTTAATGAACATATGGCTAGACCAGGGTTATCTTATAGTTCATATGAATAGTTGAAATGATAATCTAGTCGGTATTTCACAGCTTTTAATCATTTTTTTGTTATGGGACCAACTACATAGGCTAATAGACACAATTTTAAGCTGCACTCAACAGAAGCAACAAGACATTCATAAAAGAGAGGGTGAATATCGTAGTTGCGATGGTGCTGTACTGCATTTACTGTGGTTTAATCGCGGCTGCATCCCTTAATCAGCGGCTCTGGTTAAAATTGTGAGTCAAGATTCGGGCATCGACTCCAAAAACCCAGAGTTGTGCATCACTAAGTTGCGCTCGTGTCCTCATGTGTACAATTCAAAAATGGTTCTCAAGTTGATTGAAAAACCCACTTACACAAATATCAGTTGTTTACCAGAACTTTTTAACCAGAAGCTTTGGTCAAACTGTTGGTCAGTTAATCATTAACATCCCTAGTTCCAGCCCTACTGGCACGTGATATGCCAGTACTGCTAATAATGAATTAAAGCCAGTAAGGATTGTGCAAATTAATCTTTAAAATATTTTCTATACAGCTACACCAAGACAAAAACATAAGCTTGCGTAAGTTATGATCACGTAACGTGTTGGTATGTGTCTGTGTATAGAAATCTGCACTGGAGCAGAGGTTAGAGGAGGCGAGGAGTGAGCTGCTGGAGGAACGAACCAATCACACTACAGCAGTGAGCTCTCTGGAGGCACAGGTACCCTACCAGCATCTACTAATATACAGGGAGATTCACTTGAAAGAGGCCCCGAATATTCTGTAATAACTCTCTCTAGGACGAAGCAATCTGAACGAAACAACATGCAATGTGCTCCTCACTATATGGAGCTTCAACAAGCCGGGATGCCCCTGCGTCGAAGCGATGAGGTAGGCGCCGGACAGCCGTCGCAACGTTTAGCCTCCATTTGCAACTTCCGAGTGCACACCCCCGTACCCCTTCACTCAGTCATTCGACTTCTCATCAGGATGGTGGTGTACAGTATACAGTATGCAAGGAGCATGCAAACGATTACACATACGTCAAAGTATGTAGCGTATTTTTTGGTCCAGATTGATTCCTCCTAACGGGACTTGCAACAGAATATTCAGGGGCCTCTTTCGAGTGAATCTCCCTGTATTTATGCACTAAATTAATTTATTGGAATGATGGTTTGCCCAGATTTACACATTTCCCCCTAGCTGATCAGTGAAGTTTCCTTCTTTAATTGCTAATTGGTGGAGGGTAAGCTTTCATTAGCTTCCAGTAGCTCCATTGTTGAACTATAAAAATATGTCCAGGACATATTTAGTGTCTGAGATGTTCTATTTTTAGTTAAGCACTGGAGCTACAACCACCCCCCATCACTTTTTCTTTCTGGGATGTTTTTTGACTCGCCTGTTGTTTGGTGTGTGGCAGATTTCCAGACTGAACACTAATGTGTCTGAGCTCCAGACGCTGCTGAGACACAAAGACGAGTCGTCCAGATCCTACAGAGAGAGAACAGACTCGCAGGTGAGAGCTCAGAGGGTGATTCTCTGCCGAAATCATCTTCAAACAGGCTTCCCACTTTACCCCCCGTAACACAGAGGAGAGTGTCTGTTCTTATACTGTTGTGTGTTTTGGCTCAGATTGCTGATCTGGAGCAGAGACTGACGGACTCCGGCGAGAAGCTGAAGAGTTTGGAGCAGCAGTTGGCGGAGAGTGAAACCCAAAATGAGAAACTGGTACGTAGAGCTGAACCACTCTGGTGTAATGATTTAGATCAGGGGTTCCCAACCTTTTGCAGCTCACAGCTCACATAAACGACCACAAAAGCTTCCGCCATCCACAAAAAGATCTTACTGGTCTTTTTTATGACTCATCTAATGAGATAGCTGAGCTTGTTTGGCAGCTGCTGAGTGCTGGATGTCAGGCGGAAGAGAGAAAAGCTGCAAATGGAGTTCTGGCTCAGTTTGACTGGTTTAGCTATGTATTTAGTATGTTCTTCAAGTGATGATGTAAATTGTTGGGTTTTAAAGCTTCATTTAAAAACAGCACAGAGCACTATTAGCTCGTGTTCAGTTCTCACACTTGTGAAGCCCAGCACATGCTACTCACTGCTGTATTCTCCTCGTTTCGGTTTATGCTTGGTAACATTTGAAAGATCCTTTTAACCATTTATCCATGGTGGATGAGTTGCTTACAACTGAAAAGTGAAACGTTTTACATCAACTTGCACTGAAAATATAAATGTAACTAGCTAGTATCTTGCCAGAACAGTCAATACGCTCGATATAAATATGCTCTTTTTAGTTTTACATACAATCAACATTTGCCATATTTAAAAACATGTTTGGTTAATATCTGTATCGTACAAATTTGGCAGCCGATGGCCCACTAGCAGTACCACCACGGCCCACTGGGGGGCCGCAGCCCACAGGTTAAAAACAACTGTTGTAGATGCAGCATTGAAAAATGAAAAAGAAGGTTCAGAACTGTGTACTGAAATTTTAAATGCCCTCTTCCAGGCTTCTCTCGTTTAACGTCCTTCACGGAAAAATGCTGTCATTGGTCACAGTTCAGCGTCTAAGTGCAGCCTATCAGAGTAAAGTGGACAGGAGGGGTCAGGTTTATACTGTGCATCCACTCTGAAATGACTGGGCTATTTTTCCTTGTTGATTATTATATTTGTGGACTGGCATGTCAGGCACCGAAAAAGTTCTGTTTGAGAGCTTAAGAAAATCATTAAAGCTCAATTTTAGAAGAAATTGATTGTCGTGCAAACAGAACTTTGGTTAGCAGTGGCAAAGAGCAAGGTGGCTCCCATCATGCTGGTTTTAGCATCACTTAAAGTGTCGCTGTTGAAGCCTTACCTGATTAACCTGTTGATTTGTCGTTTGATGTTCTAGCTTTGATCCACATAGTTACCTTTTGCTCTTTGCTCCTGCAGCAGGTGCAGTGGTTGGAGGAGAGAGAGAGGTTACAGCAGCAGGTGAGCACTCAGAGACAGAGAGGCCTGGAGAAAACCGCTAAACTGGAGGAGGAGATGCTGACGCTGCAGCGAGCGAGAGAGACGGAGAACAGCGCTCACCAGGACCGCATGGTGTGTGGGGTTTTCTGTGGTTGTTTTTTTTTCATGCGCTTCCAAGACAAAAATACTACTGACTTTATAGTGAAACCAGAGAAAAAAGATTCTTACATACAGAACCAACAAAATACTCCAGACTTCTTTGCAGAACCAGAAAAAAAAAAAACTGTATAAATCCTCTCTCTCTGTCTCTCTCTCTCTGTCTCTCTCTCTCTCTCTCTCTCTCTCTCTCTCTCTCCCTCTCTCTCCGTGTATGTAGCGGTTGCTGGAAACAGAGAAGGACTTCCTGCTGAAGAGTAAAGCTGAGATGGAGAGCACTGTGGAGAAACTCTCAGCAGAGCTCCAGCAATCCAAAGTGAGTTTCATTCACATGTCCAGAATTATGGCTGGGCGATCCTGCGAAAATATCATATATTTCTCTAAGATGTTTTCACACGACATGATCTCTACCACCAAGTTTAGACTTTCCGAAGTTTGATGAGTTACCAGTAGTACCGGGACACTGGTCGAAATTCGTCTTCACGTAGAAGTTTTGTCATAACTGTTATATGAGACAAATGACTTATTTTGATTAATGACAATATTTGAAGCTAAAATTGGCTTTTATTCACTTTTCCTGTTCCACCTTAAACAGTGCAGTAGTTACTATCAGGTGCCTGTACAGGTCTTCAGCCTCAGAAATTAAGACGTAAAGCAGCGTTAAGCATCATTTTGACAGTAGTGTTAAAAAGCAATGTTTAAATAGGTTTGTCTGTATATTGTTCAGTTTTCTTTTTACCGTTTTGCATTTTAAATAATATTTCTTTTTTTTTTTTGGTTGTTAAAATGCCACTTAATGAAGTAAATAAAAATAATAAAATAAAAAGCCACTTTTCAACTACAAAAATAGGTTTACTTAAGCTAATATTTATGGTTTCATTTAGAAAAAAAACATACTGTGATCATTTCTGATGGTTTCAGTATAAATCATATCATTATACTATGATAGAAGCAGCGCATTTGTAGGGCCACATTTTTTGCCAGCAATTCTTCCATCAGTGCAGCCTTATTATATTGTAGGGCTCTTCTGAGCCTCTTCTAAAAGCAAAATACTGCTGATCACAGTTTTAGTACTCTTGATAACCAAAGCTCAAACAAGCTCATTTTACCATTATTCTCCATGATGGTATTATGTTGTCATATCACCCACACTGTTCATTCACACCTCTTCATTTAAGTGGTTCTGCAACACCTAATTCCACGTGTTGTTTGTGTCTGTATTTCAGGCCGAGTTGAGTAGCAGACAGACGGTGAGTGTGGAGATCGCTAAAGCTTTGGAAGAAACACGGAAGCAGAGAGAGGAGCTCCAGCAACAGGTGCGTCATTTCAGTAGCTGGTAGAGAGTTAAACGTCTGACCCTGATTAGATTCTGTTAACGTTCTTTTGGAATTGACTCAATTCATCATTCAGCGCTGTTCAATTCAGTTTTTTGTTTTTTTGTTTTTTTTTTCTGGTAAATCTTTTTATTTTTTGAATGAACATGCAACCAAACAAGTGTAGAACAATAAAGGGAGAAAAATAAGTAAATAAAAAAAATATATGGATCAATTATTAACACAGTTCTAGTATGAATGAGAATATTCTGTATAACTCAGAAAGAAGGGAGGGGGGGGAAAGGACAGAAGAAATGGTGCACATTTAGCGGGGATCAGATAGCCTTTCAGTTAGATGTCGGTGGATGAAGTCAATGTTCTGGTACAGCTATAAATCTTACTCAGGCAAAGCTTTTTCACACTGGTAAAAAAAAAGGGTTTATTATTCTTGTATATTTCTCAAATATTCTTAAAACACTCAAATGTAATGTCTAAAATAATACTAATAGTAACTTTAATAATACCATCAATTTTATTTATACCATTCAGAGTCCCCATAAAGCAAAATAAGACCGTAAACGATAAAAAGCCCAAGATAAATATTACAATATAAGAAAAAAACACTCATAGAAAACACATACTCAACGTATTTTATTGAATATTATTTTTACATTTTTATTTATTCCAAAATAAATAAAAAAAAATATTCCAAAATCAGTGCAGTCGAAAAGACACCTTCGGATGCACTTTTGCGCTGCTAATATTTGGCCATTATTTGGACATTTATCCGAGGTCAGGGGTCTGCAGTCCCATTCAAAGCCACCGTACAGTATCATATGGTCTCCGTTCTGACTGACGTGATTCAGTTCATCTTAACTATTAGGCTTGTTATGAGTCACATCTGTCACTAAAGGGAAAGTAATGGGTCGGCAATGAATATTCAGTACAATTTGATGATAATTATGCAAAAACTTCTTCTATCAGTGCAACAGGAAACGGCGAGTCACCATCTAAAGAGAGTGGGATAATCTGTCTGCACATCACACAAAAAACGGCAGTTTATGATTAGCCTTCTTTCATGTCGGCCAAATGGTCCTTCCCTGTCAAAGCTGTGGTGGAATCTCACCGGTAGTCAGTGTTTGGGCTGTTGAGACTCCTACCTGCCGGTTTTAGAGCTCTAATCTGAGGCGATGAAGATGAGACTGAAGCTGGCTTTCCTGTTCTTCAGCTTCTTATTCATATATTTTTCTTCCACCTTAAATGGTGCAGCTGTTGTATAGTGACGCCTGCACCATTTAAGGTAAAACAGAAAATTTGGATAAGAAACTGGTGAATAAGAAGTTCAGCTTTGTGCGATAATGTCTGTTTTCATCACTTGGTACAGTCCAAATGCTTTTCCTGCTGTTGTGGCTCGACCACTCAAAACTGCACTTACTTAATAAAGGAATAAGGCAGGGCAAGCTTATTTATACAGCACCTTTCATTCACTGCTGTCATTCAAAGTGCTTTACAAACAGTCGTTTAAAAAAGGAAAGGAGAAAATAAAAGCATGATTAAAACATTATTAGAACAATAGATTTAAAAGAGAAAATCATTAAGTTAAAAATCAAATTAAAAGTTAAATTAGGATAATAAAGTGTCGTCACAGAGGAAAAAGGGTCTAGAAACGCTAACCGTGTTAAAACTGAGCTGAAAGCTGCTCAAATAGAAACGTTTTGAGCCTGGATTTAAAGTGTCGGGGCTCTTCTAATGCTCTCTGTCACGTGGTTCCATTTTAAATGCAGCATAGTAGTTAAACACTGTTTCTCCATGTTTAGTCTCTTTAAATGAGAATGTTCTGCCTAGCAAGCTGAGTTTAGCACATGAGCAGTTTGCAGATTTTGATCACTCAGAATCTAGAACATGATCACTCCTTCTCTCACAGACAAGAGCTGATCTTAAAGCTCTTCAGTTTTTAAGACAATATAGATGAAAAAGCTTCAGCAGTCTGGTCAGGGTTGCCAGATTTGGCAGGATCCCTAGGAATAAGAGATCATTATGTTGCAGGATTTAAAGTTTCATTAATAAACATTATACAACAGTTAGTTCCGGCCACGCAAGCTGATTGGTTCAGAAGCGTTCTAACCGTGCTGTTATTTCGCCATAACATCACGTTTTTTTAAGCAACGACTTTGACAGCTGTAGGAGACGCTCAAACCATTAAAACATTTTTACTTCTTACTTTGTCACAAATAGAAAATGGACACTTTTAAGATCACATTTGACCGACAGTCGATTTGGTCCGACTCTGAAGATGAGACTACGCTAAATTCCCAAACTGTCATCACCACTGAGCAGCTTTTCAGTCGGCAGCTGAGACAGAAGAACAGCTAAACAACCTGGAATCAGCCAGAAATGAACCCAACACCATTCGCCAAACAAAATGTGCTGTAAGATGCTTTACAGACTGGCTGGAACAAAACAACATTAATACTGATCTGGCAAAAAATGACAAAACTGAGCTAAACTTGATATTGCGGCAGTTTTATGGCTCAGTCTGATTTGGTCAGACTCTGAAGATCAGACTACACGTTTGGCGAATGGTATTGGGTTCATTTCTGGCTGATTCCAGGTTGTTTAGCTGTTCTTCTGTCACAGCTGCCGACTGAAAAGCTGCTCAGTGGTGATGACAGTTTGGGAATTTAGTGTAAGGAGCTGGAGAACGAACTGCCGGCTGTGCAGCGAGTGAGCTGAGTTCGTTACTCTGACGTAGCAACAAGCTGCTTGTTAAGGAACTATAATTTGGCGGAAGGAACTGCTGACATTAAAACATATTAAACGCTGCGTTCACGACCCAGTTTATTAATTTATTACTTTATTTATTTAACTGTTGTATAAAAGCAATAGAACACTCAAGGAGTGTGTTATCAGGAATAACATCACAGCTGTGATGATCTACAATGACCAAATCACAGCCGTGATGTTATTTCGTGATAACACACCCTCTCGTTGCTTAAATGACAATAACAATAATAATAAAACTTTTAACAAAAATACTGATGAGATTTAATCATTAAAGTGAAACGTAGCTTTTTCTTACAATATTCTAGATAATATTCAATAGAATATTCAAAAATGAAAATATTCAACAGTTACAGCCCTAAAAAATCCAATAATGTGCTGTGGATGGATTGATATTGGGAACCGCTGCTGCTAATCATAGTGGGACTTCGTTTCCTCTGCGTCCGGCTTGTCCCGTCACACAGTAAACCCTGACCTGAGGGATACACAAGCTAAAACGACAGTGGTCCAGAATCAGGAATGAGGTTCGAGTTCCTGCTGTACGTTTATCTGCTGTGTCGTCTATCAAAAGCGATAGTTAACCCTGATTTGTCAACTTAGTATGTTGATCCTCTCTGATAGGTTGCTGAGATGTCGGAGTCTCTGCAGAGGGCGGAGCAGGAAGTGCGTCGGCTCACAGAGCAGGTGGGCATGAAAGAGGCGGAGCTTGGCAGTCTAAGAGAAGGTAAGACGTCAAAGATCATGTTTGGTGTAGGATGCAGTATGTGCGTGTGACTGAGCTGCGAGTCTGTGTCTGTGCTAGACCTGCAGACGGCCCGCTCCGGGCTCTCCTCGCTGCAGGCCGAGTATGAGGTTCTGCGTTTGGAGGCGGAGCAAAAAGAGCAGGAGAAGAACTCCCAGATCGAGTCACTGCAGCAGGAGCTCCTCACGCACTCGCAGCAGCATGACTCCTGCCAGTCGAAGGTCAGACAGAGAGAACAGCAGCACATGTTCACCTGCCATCTGTTCTCAGATTCGCTGCCTTTGTCTTCATTTGCATGTTTGTTGTAGGTGTTTGATTTGCAGAGTGAGGTGGAGAGTCTAACGGCCCAGCTGCAGGATGCAGAGGTGTGCGTGAGCGAACAGAATGGGGTCGTTGCCGTGGGCGATCTGGACCAGCTGCAGAAAGCTAACAAAGAGTTGGAGCAGCAACTTAGTGAGAAGAACAAGGTGAGGCACACATACTGAGGTTGGGTGGTATCCACGTTTTTTTCGCATCTTCAAAGTGCCTCCAGATATTACTGTTATAGATATAATAACGTGTAAGACAGTAATGCATAAAATACATAAAATTGATTGTGCTGCTTTTGTCCCACCTCATCATATATTTCAAAATCAAAAACCATCAAATAAAAAGTTCAGTTCACTTAAACAGTTATCTGACTCTGTCAATCCAAAAAAAATGACTATAGTTGTATCCACGATTTTGGACACCCCTGGTCATATTACACGTTTTGTTGATCCTCTAAGCAAAAATAAGTACACATTCAGAAAATGCACTTACATATGACAGTTTTCTGCTAATTTTAGTGTGCAGTTTCTATTTATACTTTACATAATGGGGGGAAAAAAGTAAAGCATATTATTTAAAATGTGCCATAACTTTTGCACAGGGCACATTTTATGTCTTTTTTCCAGTATGTTAAATTAGAAAATCAACAAAACATCATTTGACAAGGGGTGTTCAAACGTCTGCATATGACTGCATCTAACAGCGACTGATAAATGTTAAACAGTGCTGCTAACTGGGAGAGAGGAGCTGAGTAGCACTAGTGTAGCCACCATGCTGACACCACTGCTTACCACAAAACATGTATGATTCTGGCTAAGTAAAGCACCGACACACGTTCAGACGGTAGTGACTCAGATCTGAAGGAGTGAAGTCGAGCGGTTGGCGTTAGATAGAAAGATGAAATTAAACCAGTTCTGCAGTGTTTATATCTGAAGTCTACTAAGTAACTGTTAGCTTAGCTACAGACTCAGTCATTGCCATACATCGCTGTGCAGGTCCAGTTCCAACTTACTAAAATATGAATGGCTGGAATGTGTTTATTTGAGCGTTTACTAAATAGATGTGGCTCAGATGTTTGACCACATGATTGTTAGACATGCACAGATATAGGAATTGTGGCCCAGCGCTGATATCCGACATATTTAATGTCCATATCTGCCCATGCCGATACATAATCAATTCTAAAATATAGAAATTTGGAGTAGATCTACTGGAATTATGTTACAGAAAAATATAATATTTATTTCTGTTGGGTAAAAATGGCGTAAATGCTGATTTTTTTTTGCATAGTAGTTCAGCAACATCTAAACGTTCTGCTCTTCCAAAGGACAGTAAATACATCATCTGTTGGTCAAATCTTAATATCTGTTTAGGTTTTTTTTTTTTTTTAATGTGAATATCTGCCAGTACTGATATCATCACAGTCGTGCAAAATCCTTAATTTCTGGTGATTTTTACTTTTTTTGGCATAATTTAAAATCTCCAGTAACACTTTGCACATGTTAAACAGTACAAGCAAAACTGCCCCCCCCCATTGCAGTACGTCACTGGGCACGTGATCTGTGTCTGCCTGGAAGATAATCATGGATGCACATGGTTCCCCTAAGTTGGAAGAAGTGCACGACGATTTTGCGTATTTCGAGGCAGCAGCCTTTAGTACAGCACATGAAGAGACTGAACAGATAAACTGGCTTCCATGTAACGAGCGGATTTGCATGTTCTGTTCCATGCAGCAGCCGGACTAACCGGAGACGCATTTGACTACCAAGAGTAAAAGCATGTGGCAAAAATCAAGATACGATCCAGATACTTGTAACATGAAGTGACCAGGTGTAAACGGGGTCTGTTTTCTTCTTCTGTAAAGTTACCATTTTGGTGATGAAGTGTTTACTCAACAGCGACAATATAATTTCATTCATTGTGCATCCATCATCATTATTTGGAAATAATGATCAAACGTCATCGTTTTTAACCACCACAGTGCACTTTATTACTGTTATACTGCCCAGCCTTAAGACTCTCACACACACACACACACACACACACACACACAGAGCAGGTAAAAGTGGCCCAAATCTGATCTTTTTCTTCATATGTGACACAGATGTGTGTCTGTATGTCAGTGTGAAGAGAGAAACACACTGAATCTGACATTTTCAATTCCGAATTTAGACGCTTTCGTATGTGGTACTGAAATCCGATACGTATCCAATCTGCGGCAACGCGACTCAGTCTGAACAGCCTGAACGGCTGAACGAAGCCGGCGGAGACCGAGGCTGCAGTGCCAAAAAACGTTTAAAGAATAACGTGCCCTTATCAGATTTGGGCCACTTTTACCTGCTGTGTAAACGCAGCCTTAGAGACTTGAGCTTAGGAGTGAGTAGTGTGGTCATATTTATTGTTGTCTTGACAAATTATATGACTGTACAGTGTTTTGAGTGTATAGCTGATATTGTATTCATTGTATTTATTGTTATTTTTTATATTTTTTGACAGTATTTTTTAAATGTGACACCACTGGATCTTTTTTTGTTGTATCAAACATCAGAAGAACGAAATATCATGATTCATATCATGTATTGTAAAAATGTCTTGAAGTATTGTGATATTACATTTTTGCCATATCGTTCATCCCTGCTTGAGGTGCCAGTAGGAAGTCCCTGTAATCGTCTTCATTATGTTATGATTTGAACTTGGAAGCCTTTTTTTTCTTGCTCATTTTTGCACACTGTGGATCCTGAACTTTGGCTGTAATTGTTTCTTACAGACTATAAAACAGCTGCAGCAGAGACTGGCAGAACTGAAGAGGACCTTACAGAAAGAGCTGGTGGGTGTGTGAGCATTGGGGATGTAGGGACGCATCACTGTGTCATGGTGTTGATTATAGTAAATTGTAATAATATTGTTTCTTTTTTATTACTTGCCCAACGTTTTGTCCCAATTTAGCCATGTCCAATTCCTCCTCTTATCCTGGTTCCCCCATCACACAATGCTGCCCAACTAGGAGGGTGATAGCTAGCATGTGAATCAAATTGCAGTGAACTCTGAAATGTCATGATGTATTAAAACGTTCCCCAAAAAAGTCTTAAATTAATCACCCTGTTGTGAAATCAGAGCCCAGAGAGTGTGAAACAGCCTGCCACAGCAACCCCTCCCTTCCTCATCAAATCCTCGTTTGTTTGTTTGTGCAACAGAAGCTGAAGCCAGATGCTGACTCGGACAGTAAGGAGAAGCTTCCGGATGGACGGCAGGAGCGCTCGGCTGAAAAGCCAAGCTCAGAGACCCCCGCCCCAGCAGCCACGCCCACTCCAGCCCCCAGCTCTACACACACCGCCGGCCCTGGCCCGATCACTTCCCGCACGATGGTCACCAACAGCTCAGACCTGATGGACACGCGGGAGATCAACTTTAAGTACCTCAAACACGTGGTGCTCAAGTTCATGTCCTCCAGAGAGGCCGAGGTCAGAGACCCTCACTGTGTCCTACAATTGCTAACCTTAGGCTTAAAGGGGAATTCCACCAATTTTTCAAAATGTTTGCATAATTAAATGGTTAAGATGTAAACAGAGTCATTCAGAGTGGTTTGGTGTGAAACGCTCTGTTCTAGGGAAACTTACAGAGTCAGAATTGTTCACAGTGGTGGTGATAGGAACCAGACGTCCACCTCTAAAAGCTCCCTCACAGAAAGTTACTACGTGGAATCGTTAATCAGGGAAACATGGAATACACTGCCTGATGCCTGACATGGAATTTTTATCTTTTTTATTTTACCATCATCAGTATTACAAAACCAAAACTCAGAACACATGTAGGTTCACTGGTCATAAATAAACTGACTATATTTGTTTTTTAACAAATGTTAACAAACATGTTTCTTAACCATTAAACCATGAAGAAATTTTGAAAAATTGGTGTAACTCTCCTTTAAGATTACTTTTAATGTGTTGAGATATTGGGATTTTTTTCTTTCTCTCACTCTCGGCCTGACCCCTATTTTTCTCTCTCTCTCTCTCTCTCTCTCTGCCCCCCCTTCTGGCCCCCAGGCGTACCAACTGATTAAAGCAGTCTCAGTGCTTCTGCAGTTCACACGAGAAGAAGAAGACATGCTCAAGCAGACGCTGGAGTACAAGGTTTGTGTTCGCATTTGCACGTGTGCAGTATAAACAATATTCACTGCCTTTGAAGACCACCCCACCCCACCCCAGCCCACCACACACACACGTGCTGCGGAACTCCTCCGTGTTTAAGCTTGGAGCCCTGGAGGCCTGCAGCTCAGCGGCCGCGTGTTAACTAGGCCACTCTCGTCTATGTGGGTCAGGAGATGAAGCTGAATGCCCTGGATCAAAGCGTGAACCGTTAGCATAGCGTTCAGGAATAGCAGCATGCAGGTATTTTTAGCCTGCAGCAGCAGCAGCTGCATCCTCGAGCAGAAACACCCACCCTGCTGCATTTCACTCAGCCTTCTTCTGTTCTTCTTTAATCTCTCTGAAGTCAAGCACAACTTTTAAACCTGCGCGCATCTCATACTTAAAAGGGAATTTTTCCAAATTTTGGCATAATTAAATGCTTAAGATGCCTTTCAGGGTGGTTTGGTGCGAAATGCTGTGTTCTGGAGAAACTTGCAGATTAAGAATTGTTCACAGTGGTGGTGATAGGAACCAGACGTCTGAAGGGTTTAATGCCTCTAAAAGCTCCCTCAGAAAGCTGTTAAGCATAATGTTTACGAATATATCAGCTGAAGCCTGAGTCACTGTTTTATGACGGTTTTTAAAAGATTTTGGCCTTAAACATATTTTAAAATCCATTCACGGTGGAGACGTACATGCAGGGCATTGGGAGAGAAAATAGTGAGAAGAGTCTGACTACAGAGCGCAGAGCCTTAAATTTACACCTGCAGTTTCGCTCCAGCGGTCAGGCCAATGAAACTCATGCACAGCAGGACAGCGCGATTGTGCCATGTAAACAAAGTTGGGCGTTACGAGCGTCCCATTCGCATTTCAACCAGTGGCCGGTCTCCTCATCCATAACGTCTCTGATGTAAACAGCAACTGTTTGTGCTGCTTGTTTCTCCATGCATATTACCGTACAGGAAGAGAGATCGCTGCCTGTATACAAATCATCCACTGGAAACCAGTTAAACCATAAGCCGAAACACATTACAAAACCATCAGAACCCAGAAGAAACACTCAGTGGTTTCTGTGGCTTTTTTCAGCAGGGATACGTTCAAAAACTAAAGTTTGTTTTGGCCTAAATCTTCATATTATGCTCAGTTTAAACCTGCTTAAGGTAAAGTTTTATTCCTGCGTATGTGATGTAAGTGTACACATAAAGCCCTGTATTAAGGGTAAGTTAAATGAGCTGTATGTCTGCATGGCTTAACCCAGGACACATCAGCTGTAGTTCATGTAATATTTACCCTGTGAATCTCTACATGCGTTCAAACCTGTTTGTTTTGGCCTAAAGCTTAAAATAAATTCGCGCGGGGCTAACGTTGTGTCACAAATTTATTTGAAACCCACTTAAAACGACTGAAATGTTGATCAGCCTAAAAGTCGCTAAGAAAAACCAAAGCAATTGTCGGCGCATGCGCTGAATGCCACTGGTTTGAACCTGCTGGAGTGAAACTGCGGCTCTGCAGACAGATATTATTGAAAATAGGCCCAGAAGAATACTTGTCACTGTTTTGCCATCATCAGCATCACATATAAAACACAGACACATACAAGTTTTGGACAGTAAATAAAATGGCTTTATGTGTAGCAGCCTAGCTTTTGGGAGGTTTCTACTGTGTTGGCTTCCATAAAAATCATATCTCAAAAGTCATATCTGGCCTAATTCTGTCTGGTTCTGTTTGAGGTTGACTATTTGCGATGCGATTACATTACATGTAATTATTTAAGGTATTACATTTACATTGAACTTGCAGTTTGTTTTGACAGGTTGTTGTGTTTGTTTTGATATGGAATAAAAGATCCAAACAGGGAAAAAATAATTCAATTTCTACCTACAAACATAAATGTGGTTTGAAATAAAGGTTTAGAATCTGCAATATCTCCAGTTTGTTTCAGTGAACTGTAAGGACAGAAGTTTCAAGGCGTGTGGGCTGTTTTAGGGTTTAAACCAGAAGGCTTTGTGCTTTTGTTTCGCAGATGTCGTGGTTCGGCTCCAAGCCCTCCCCCAAAGGCATCATCCGGCCGTCCATCTCAGGAGCCCCGAGCAGTTGGAGCTGAGGCAGAGCGAGCGAGACGTCTCACTGTAGGCTTGGAGGAACGCCTGGAGGAACGCGGGCTGAAGACCACGTTCTTGCTGCTCCTGGGCTCTAGCGGTTCCTTTAAAGCTGATCTTTCTCTTCTGTGGACTGGACAACAGCTTCTGTCTGGGTTCTTGAGCTTTTCATGGCTGATGGGTTTGTCTATAAGGGACCAGCTTCATGCAGTGTTTGGGGAAAAGTCATGGAGCTGAATAATGATTACAGCCTTGGCTGATTGGAAATTAAGCCTGTGGGATTGTTAATCTCAGGATTGTTCCTCGGCCTTTGGTCAAAACCAAATTTGACCATTGCGTACGTGGAGGTCCCTGAAAGTAGAAGATTGTGGTGCGAATGGGTGCTGGCTGTCTGGTTACCACCATCACTCTCAGCTCGAGAAAATACCGTTAAATAATTTTGTAATAAGAATAGAGCTTTTCTTCGCTGTATTCGCAGAGAATGGACTCTGTGGTCAGGCAGCAGCAGCAGTGTGTACGCCACTTTGTACCAGAGCGCACGTGCAAACAAGATGGCTTTTTTACATGGACCATCAACGGAGAACTCGTTTCAGTGAAATATCATTGCTATAGACTCCCATTTTAAAGCTGCATCTTACCTTTACCTGCCTTGTGTATGTGTAAATTACGATTAAGTACATTCCATACGTCTATTTATATATGAAACTGTAAATACTGAATGAAAGGTTTATAAAATCATACTTTTTCCTTTTCCCGGCTGTATTTAGAGCTTTTTCTTTTCTATTCTACATCTATGGGACTGTCCGAATGATTGAATGGACATGTATTGGAGTATTTATGCGTGTAATGAGCATGCATGTATGCCTTATACTGAACTCTTCAGTCGTATTACTGAAATGAAGAATCACATTAATTTGAAGTAATTTGGGCTTGTTTTAAAAACAGTATGTATACTGGATATTTATTTTTCTCTTATTTGTTGTAAAATTTCAGCCAGACGTTAAAGTTATTGTTAAAAATAATGCCAATTCACGAAAAACAGTCCAAAAGCTGATGTTGCCGACAACGAATGAAAGTGAAATAGCTGCTAATTTGGCAGTTATGCAAATGCGGCCATGCTAATTGGTGGATAATGGCTTCCATTTGTTGTTGGCCATGTTAGCATGATTTGGTCAAGCTGTTACCTTTAACACAGAGAAGAAAAGACTAAAGTAGCCATCAGAGTTAAACTGGGAATAAATCTATTGCTTTTAATAGACATCTTTGATTTAGGGTCACAACAACATTGAGAATCCACTGCTGTTGTTTCTTCATTCAGTTTGATCATAAATGACATGATTTTTTTTGTTTTTAACCTCATTAGATGGAATTATTTACCAGCCTTATAGCAGCACTGTTATCTTCTAAAGGGTGACGTTGTCTGTTTTGCTTGTGCTGACATGAAATTCATGAGCAGATGCTCGTTTGCACTGACAGGATCATGATCATTTCTGACCGTCTCATTCTGGTTTGTGATACTGTAGCAATCACAGCAATCAAAACATCATCCCGCAGCGTCCACTGCTTCAGTGAGAAACCACTACATGTTTGATTCTGAATGGTATGTCAAGAATATCAAGACTTGAATAAATTATCTTTGATTTTGCTGGCAGTTCTGTGCTTTACTGTAAATTTGACTGCATGGTTTCATTTGCGCAGTCAGTCAGTCAGTAGGTACAGTCGGGGTGGCGGAGCGGCCATATAGTCACACAGGAAAGGCAGATGACGTTGTTTTAGTCGTCTCTAATGTTTACAGTAAATACTCTACCATAAATTCACACTTACATACAGCAGCTTTCAGTCTAAAGTCTTAAACCCCTCGCATTGGATGTATGTTTCTGATGGTCTTAATTCTTGTTGCTTATGTTTATGATTTCTAAGGCAGGTATGAATAGTGAAGTCATTGTTTATGTATGTTGAAGTGCATTCGGGGCAGGTAGAGGAGAGGAGATCAACTAATGACCTTTTCTTTTTAATTGTGGTTTACTATTTTAAAATAATGGCTTACACTAAAACAATGTTTTTGAAATGTAGTAACTCATTATTGTGACATAGAATGTCAAAATTACGAATCAATCTTGAGAAGCCAACATTTTAAGAAAATAATTTTTTTTTTTAAACAGCATTTCAAGAAACTATTTTTGACAAATCAAAATTTGGAGAAAGCAAGTTATTTTGAGAAGACTAGTCAATTTTTTTAGAAAATATATCTATGAGATCAAAAATTTGAGAGCATCATTTTGAGAAAGAATTGAGAAAATATCTTTTTGAGAAATGAAGATTTTGAGAAAATATATCTTTTGGAGAAATGTAAAATTTGGAGAGAATATTTTTTTGAGACCAAAAATTTGAGAGAATATCTTTTGGAGAAATCAACATTTTTAGAAAATATCTTTTTGTGAAATCAAAATTGAGAACATATTTTGAGAAATATACAATTTTTGAGAAAACATTTAGAAAAATTTTGAGCAAAGTCCAACAAAATTTAAGGAAAGTCATTATCTTAACACAATCAATGGCTTGTTTTCTCAATATTTTATTTTGTGATAGTATTTTAAAAAGTCGTTTTTATGATGAATCAAATTTTCAGCATACTGCTGTCAGAACCCAAGAAGACCAAAGGCCTGGGAGGAATCGCCTTCCATGTATGTTTAAATTTATTCCCAAAAGAATCACTTAAATGAAACATTTTACTGAAACATTTGGTCAATGCATAATTCCATATGTATTATTTCATCATTTTGATGTACTGTAATATTCTTCTGGTTCCACTTCACTATTTTTAGCCGTTTGCGGTACAAAAGGAGGCGAGTTTTTAATTTACACCTTTCGTATGTACTTGTCTGAAGAGACGGTTAATAGGAAACATCTGCTTAGCAAACAATGACTGGGGGTGGGTGAGTTTAATAAGCCATGAAAAGCCTGAATTCCTGCAAAACATTAACAGAGGCACGAAAAACAGATTTATGATCTTTATTGCACCAGGCACTTCACAATAACCCCTTCAACCCACCCACACTGAGAAACCGCAACTCCACTGCAATGCTATATATTAAACATCATCCTTTTTTTGTACAAAAGAAAAACTGATTCGGAATTAAAGAATTAAAGAAATGAGAAATATTCATCTGGCAGCGCCGGCCGGTCACTTTCACAGTCTGGACGCCGAGAAACGGCTGTTCAAAGCTAACGGTGATGCTCCTCTTCTGTTCACAGATAAACCAAAACACCTAAAACCTTCACTTAGCAATCAATAAGGAGACGCATCAGATCTTTCTTAGAACTCCAGGAGGTAAATTAATGAAGCAATAATTTATATTACATACAAACACATTTCCCCATAGGAAAGCAGTTGTTTTGGGATAAAATAAACCGTCCACCATGGTTCTCTCCTCTCTTATTCGTAGAGATTTGGTTGATGAGAGCTGCGACAAAGGAAGCTGTCCACATTTAGGAGGAAAACGATGACCCCGTGGCTCTCGTGTTTTTTTTTCTCTTTGCTTTAGCTGCGCTTTTTAAACCGACTTCCTTGCTGTCAGCACTCGCACTATGGAGCCCAAACCCCCGACAGCAAAAGCCTGAAACAGAACGAGAGAGAATTATTTATAAACTCATGACGTGTCTGGGAATAGCAGAGAAGTGCAGTTGGCACAGAGGCATAATAGACGGAATAATATCAGGAATTATTATACAGAGTGGAACCGCTGACTGAACGAGTCTAGATACAGTTGTTCGTTTCCAACTGTACACAAAAATGAACCAAATTAGACGATTATTGGGCAATAAAACTAACAGTAATTATTAAATCCAGCATTTTCAATATTAATATGATGTGGTGCTGTGCAATATATCATCTATACCAGGGTTTGTCAGCATGCAGCCCTTTTACTGCCCTGTTGCAGCTCCGGAGCTGCATGCGGCCCTTTTACTGCCCTGTTGCGGCTCCGGAGCGGCATGCGGCCCTTTTACTGCCCTGTTGCGGCCCCGGAGCTGCATGTGGCCCTTTTACTGCCCTGTTGCGGCTCCGGAGCTGCATGTGGTCCTTTTACTGCCCTGTTGTGGCTCCGGAGCTGCATGCAGCCCTTTTCCTGCCCTGTTGCGGCTCCGGAGCTGCATGCGGCCCTTTTACTGCCCTGTTGCGGCCCCGGAGCTGCATGTGGCCCTTTTACTGCCCTGTTGCGGCTCCGGAGCTGCATGCGGCCCTTTTCCTGCCCTGTTGCGGCTCCGGAGCTGCATGCGGCCCTTTTACTGCCCTGTTGCGGCCCCGGAGCTGCATGTGGCCCTTTTACTGCCCTGTTGCGGCTCCGGAGCTGCATGCGGCCCTTTTCCTGCCCTGTTGCGGCTCCGGAGCTGCATGCGGTCCTTTTCCTGCCCTGTTGCGGCTCCAGAGCTGCATGCGGCCCTTTTCCTGCCCTGTTGTGGCTCCACAACAGAATCAGATTTGTAGGCAAGAATAAAATAATCCTTTACAGTAAAATAAAGCTCTGCTGATCGTTCAACACAGTTTAACAATAAATGGTCTTAAACGCTGGAGTTAATGAAGAACTGCTAATTCACACTTTAACCCTGAAGGTTGGTGCGCAGACTACTGGTCATCATAGCAACACAGACAACTCGCCTAGCTAGTAGCTAATGAAAAGGCAAAGAGAAAGATTTAAGACGAAAATCAATAATTTGGAGATGAATGAACTTAGAGGTGGGCTGATAAATTATACTGCAACAGATGGGCTACAGTCTCTAACTATAAACCTGCGAAGTATATGTTAAGTGTTCCTGATAAACTGGCCAGTGAGTGTAGGTACAAGGTAGGTGTGCTTAATAAACTGGACACATATTGTATACTGTGAAAAGCGCTTTGGCCATACTGTTCAGCCCTAAACTGAATAAATAAGAGGTCTGGACGAGTAGGGCCTCACCTTTTCGTGCCACTGCAGCAGAATGGCGCTGCTGTTGTCTGAGGGCTTCTCGAAGCCTCTGTAGATGTACTTCATCAGCAGGTCCACCCCGTTCCTGTCCAGTGACTTCACAGCTGGCTCGATGTCACTGCTCTTAAAGGAGGTCAACACCCGCAACACCACAGCCTGCGCCCGCTCCTGAGACAGAGAGAAACAAAGAAATAGGGGAAAGAGAGAGAGAGGCAACACATTATATTCTCACTGTTAACATTTATGAGATCAAGTCAAAATGCCATAAATTCTCACAAGCACTAGTGATCACCGTAGGACATTCCGGTCCACCTTTAAAGAAAACGTGCAGGTTTATTAGGGCTGTAAAAATGCTTCAGTGCATCGAGAGGAATCGGTCTGAAAATGGCAGTTCAACCGCATCAGTTTTACCAATTCTAATTATTTATAATAACATTTACAATGTGTTTTTCTGTATTGCATTACTGTATAAATAGTTCCTAAAGTCACTTAGCAAATCAAAGATAAAATGAGATTTTTTTGATGCACTGAATCGCTGTCTAAAGAACCATAACTGAATTTGGACATGATGAGATCAGAGTTTTTAACCCCTAGTAATTATTCTGGTGAGTAAAGTCCAAACCTCTTACCTTCACTGCTGGGTTTTTGGAGTTGATTGGCGGGTTCCTCAGAGCGATGTGGAACGCGGTCATCATCTCTCCTGTGCATTAGGGCTAGTTAAGGAAAACAGGTCTACCAGCAGACATCACTGAGACTATTGGGACAGGTCTGACTGATATATCGTCTGGCCAATAAACACACTCATACAAAAGCTCTACAGAAGGAAGTTGCACCTATGTTGCATATCCATATAATAATTCATTCAGGAATGTGACACTATTTCAAAAACAACCACACATACTACCCACCACTAAGCAAAGTCTTGATTGAGTTCAGAACTGTTACTGGTCACCCAATTTAAGTTTTAGGGTTATTTAAAAGTGGCATGTTTCATATGGATATGAATGCAGTGGCTTATTTTACATGCATATTATTATACTGTACGTTTCTACAGTTTAATTTTTTTTTAAAAATGTGACTTTTGAGAACGAGTAACCGTATCAATCAGTAAAGCACTGCTGAAATGAGTCTGTTTAAGGAGAATTCTGCCTAATTAAACGGTTAAGATATAAACAAAGGTATTCCAAGCAGTCTGGTGTGAAACTTAATTGTTCACAGTGGTGGTGATAGGAACCAGACGTCTGAAGAGTTTAGTGCCTCTGAAAGCTCCCTCACATAAAATTCTTACACATAACTGTTATAATACACTGTCTGATGTATGAGACACTGTTTTATGACAGTTTTGAGAAGATTCTGGCCTAAAATACATTTTTTTTTTTAAATATATTAAAGGCGGAGAGGTACATGCAGGTAAAATAGTCCCCAAAGAAAACATATTTTTTACCATCATCAATCTTACACATAAAAACTCAGAAGACGTGTATAGCTTCACTGGAGGTTTTGGATATTGAATAAAACATTTATATATGTAATATTTGTGTTGTAGAAATCAGGACCCCTGGTTCCTATGACTGGTTCTGAATTATGCAGGAGTTTGGGGAAATCGGTGGAATTACCCTTTAAACAGCAGCCAAAATCATTGCTCACCAAAACCCGTACCAACCTAAAACTGGTATAAGTTGCACAATCCTTTTGATTTAGCTGCCCATTTGCAAATTAGACCACTAAATACACGGACCAGGAGACATTAAGAACCACTGTCCTCCTATAGTGCTTGTAACATTCACACAGAAGCTCCTCAGCTTTGAAAAGACACGACGAAGCACTTTCGGATCTGTCCTTGTGGGTCTGATTGCTCTTTTATAAAGAAACCGTAACCCTCAGCAAGGCCTGTTGCCCAGGAGCATCAGTAGGTACATCTATTTGTAAATAAGAGCTAATGTACTGTATGCTCCCAATATGTATCCATGTATTCACTATAAGGAATTCCGTCTATACGTGCAGCCCTAAACCACATAAACCTTTCCTGAAGGGCAATAAAACAGTGTTTTGAAACAGTGGCTCAAAGACTAAAGGAACAAAGGTTGACCACTAAACATACATTCAAAACTCGGACTATGTGTGCAGGTGTCGCTCCTGGTGGCAGCAAAAGAGCCACAGACGGATCACGAACAGTTAGTGCAACAGTGATACAGTGAGAGAGCCAGATGTCAGCACTCTAAACTCCTTCACATCTTTCTCTCTCACTCTCTCTCTCTCTTTCTGCAGCCCTGCTCATGTCCCAGAAACGCCACACACCAGTCACCATCGACACTGACCTGATTCGACAAAGACGAGCACAAAGTAAAACAGCAGGGCTCCTTCTCTAGTTCAGCTTCACAAGCAGCTCCATTTACTCAAAACTTCAAGTCAAGAAAAATGCAGTTATGCTTTGAGTATTTTCAAATTATTATACCAATCAGGCATAACATTATGACCACCTCCTTGTTTCTATGCTCACTGTCCATTTTATCAGCTCCACTTACTATATAGGTGCACTTTGTAGTTCTACAGTTACAGACTGTAGTCCATCTGTTTCTCTGATACTTTGTTAGCCCCCTTTTACCCTGTTCTTCAGTGCTCAGGACCCCCATGGACCCTCACAGAGCAGGTCCTATTTGGATGGTGGATCATTCTCAGCACTGCAGTGAGACTGACGTGGTGGTGGTGTGTTAGTGTGTGTTGTGCTGGTCTGAGTGGATCAGACACAGCAGTGCTGCTGGAGTTTTTAAACACCTCAGTGTCGCTGCTGGACTGAGAATAGTCCACCAACCAAAAATATCCAGCCAACAGTGTCCTGTGGGCAGCGTCCTGTGACCACTGATGAAGGACTAGAGGATGACCAACAAAAACTGTGCAGCAGCAGATGAGCTATCGTCTCTGACTTTACATCTACAAGGTGGACTGACAAGGTAGGAGTGTCTAATAGAGTGGACAGTGAGTGGACACAGTGTTAAAAAACTCCAGCAGCACTGCTGTGTCTGATCCACTCGCACCAGCACAACACGCACTAACACACCACCACCACGTCAGTGTTACTGCAGTGCTGAGAATGATCCACCACCCAAATAGTACCTGCTCTGTGAGGGTCCATGGGGGTCCTGACCACTGAAGAACAGGGTAAAAGGGGGCTAACAAAGTATCAGAGAAACAGATGGACTACAGTCTGTAACTGTAGAACTACAAAGTGCACCTATGTAGTAAGTGGAGCTGATAAAATGGACAATGAGCGTCGAAACAAGGAGGTGGTCAGAACGTTATGCCTGATTGGTGTATACTTTCATACTGAGGAAATGAATCTACTTACATATTGGGAATTAACATTTAGTTTCAATTCCTCTGCCATTCTCTAAGTGGCTTGATACTTAAAGGGGAATTCCACCAATTTTTCAAAGTTTCAACATAATTCAGTGGTCGAGATGTAAATAGTCATTCAGAGTGGTTTGGTGTGAAATGATTGATTGTAGAGACTCAATGTCTTTACAGTGGTGGTGATGGGAACCAGGCGTCGTCACGTCTACAACACGAATATAGCCATTTTATTTACTATCAAAACCACCAGTGAACCTTCACGAGTCTTCTGAACTTTATATGGAATATTGATGGTGAAATCAAAACTATCATAAAACAGTGTCTCAGGCATCAGGCCGTGAATTCATACCCACTTCATGTAGTAACTTTCTGTGAGGGAGCTTTTAGAGGTGGACGCCTGGTTCCTATCACCACCACTGTAAACAATTCTACCTCTGTAAGGTTCTCTATGACTTTGTTTACATCGTTTAACCTCTGTAACTCTGTGGAACAACTAGTGCTCTAAGATTTTTGGCTTTCAGCAGTAAATTGTAAGCATATGGCATTAGGTTTATTATCATAAATCATTGGCTTTTACCAAAAAAAAACACCAACACTTTACATTTATTTCATGCGGTTACTGAATAATTTGCCTTAGGATTTGAGCATGTAAATTCAGATGGAAAAACCGAAATATACCCTGGAGAATAACTGGCTATTTATACAGAAAAATTGGTGGAATTCCCCTTCAAGTTGTTGTTTGAGCTGCTACATTTTTGCATCTACTCAAGATGTTTTTTGGAAACTTACATTTATGTCTACCTGAGTCATTATTACACTGAAGTAACAATGCTTTCATTGGCGTGTGGGTTTAGGACACTCTATCCACCTCTGACGAATAGAGTAGCTGAACAGGAACTGGACTATGCTGTCGAGGCAAGAAAGCAAGATGTCCTTTATCCTCCTGTGTCACCTGTCAACATTACAACCTCCTGACCTGTCGAAACACTCACTGGTCGGACCTGTGCTACCCAGCCCTGCTCCTGCAGCCGCCTGCACTTCAGTTTCATGTTTTTTCTTAGAAATTCTGTGCCAAAAAGGAAGAGAACATGAAACTATGCAGGTAAGAAAACATGAAACTATGCAGGTCGTGCTGCAGGAAACAGAGTCAAAGCATACCAAAGTCACAGTTTAAGGCATGATTACAAAAAAAACAAGTTCAACCAAGACGTGCACAATGACTCGCCACCACTGTGTCAAATACGAACTGCATTAAAGGGGAATTCCACCAGCTTTTCTAAATTTCTGTACAATTCAGTGGTTGAGAGAAACTTGCTGACGGATCTCTTTACAGCGGTGCTGATGGGAACCAGGGGTCACCATGACTACAACACAAATATAGCCATTTTATTTACTATCCAAAACCACCAGTGAGCCTACACGTCTTTTGAGTATTTATATGTAATGAAGTTGATAGTAAAACAGTGATAAATCTGAAAAAATAAGTTTTCTTTAAGCACTATTTTGCCTCACAACACGCTGCATGCACCTCTTCACCATAAAAATACATCGAAGACATTTTTACTTTCAAATATTTTCTGCAAAACTATCGTAAAATAACGTCTCAGACGTCCAGCAGTGAATTCAAAACCATTTCATGTAATAACTTTGTGAAGGAGCTTTTAGAGGTGGATGTGTGGTTCCTATCACCACCACTATAAACAGTTCTGACTCTGTAAGTTTGTCTAGAACAGAGAATTCCACACCAAACCACTCTGAACAATCTGTCTACATATTAGCGATGAAGTCCCCCTTTAGGGCTGAAGAAAGAAGTAAAACCAAGCATGATTTTCCGCTTCCACTACAAACTGCACTAATGTTCAACTAGTATGTATAACATTCACAAAAGTGTGATTACCCCCTTTTTTCTCTGTAGAAAACATATTTTCACTTACAAAATCAATGCGTCACATGACCAGTGGCGCCAAAACTTTTGCACATGACCATAGTATGCAAGGTGCATGTATAAGACCACTCACAATACTACACTCTTAAAAACAGATGGTTCTTCAAGGGTTCTTTAGCGAAGGGAGTAAAAGGGGACGTTTCCCGCTTAAATGGTTCTCTGTGTGGTGAAATGGTTCCTCAGATTGATGGAGAATGTGCTGTATATGGTCCTATATAGAACCATTTTCAAAAAGGTTCTAGAACTGCTCTATTTACTAAAGAACTCAAAGAACTTTAAGAATGTCTTACTACTAACAACAACAACAATAATAATAATAATAATAATAATAATAATAATATTAATAATAATAATAACACTACATGTAACTGCTACATACAAAAACATGGTTCCTCATGTGTTCTTTACTAAAAGGAATGGTTCTACTGTACAGAACCTTTTTAAAAAGCTTCTTCATAGCACCAAAATGGTTCTTCTTATATTGTTACTAGCTTGACATCGTAACAATAGTACAAGCCTTTTTGCCGCAATACAGAAAGATCCTCAAAAGCCATCAATCTGAAGAACCGTTTAAGCAGAAAATGGTTCTATATAGAACTCATTATTTTAAACAGAACCATCTTTTTTAAGCTGCTACACCATTTAATTATTAGTTAGTAGTACAAACACAAGGTTCTTCATGGGCTCTTTACCTCTTTACTAAAAGGAACGGTTCTACTTTATTAAATTTTTTACATTTTTTCTAAACAGCACCAAAAGGGTTCTTCTTATATTGTTCCAATATAAGATTCTTGTATTGTTTTTGCTGCTGTATAGAACCATTTTTTAAATATACAAAACATTCTCAGCCAATCTGAAGAACCATATAAACATGAAATGGTTCTATATAGAACTCATAATGCTAAACAGAACCACTCCCTTTACTAAAAACCCTTGAAGAACCATCTTTAAGCTGCTACACCTTTTAACTATTAGTTAGTAGTACAAACAGATGGTTCTTCACAGGCTCTTTACTACAAGGAACGGTTCTACTGTATAAAACATTTTTAAATGGTTCTAAACAGCACCAATACAGGTTCTTCTTATATTGTTACAATATAAGATTCTTGTATTGTTTTTGCTGCTGTATAGAACCATTTTTACAAATATACAAAACATTACGAATCTGAAGAACCATTTAAGCAGAAAATGGTTCTATATAGAACGCATTATTTTAAACAGAACCATCTTTTTTGAGCTGCTACACCATTTAACTATTAGTAGTACAAACACATGGTTCTTCATGGGTTCTTTACTAAAAGGAACGGTTCTACTATATAAATTATTTTTTAAAGGTTCTAAATAGCACCAATAGGGTTCTTCTTATGGTGTTACAAGCTTGACATCGTAACAGCAGAACCCTTTTTGCTGCAAAACAACCATTTTTAAAAAATGTATACAAAACGTTCTCCATCGATCTGAAGAACCTTTTAAGCATGAAATGGTTCTGCATAGAACTCCTGATTCTAAACAGAACCATCTTTTTAGGAGTGTAAGTAGTGTAAGTAGTGAACTCAGCTCCTCGTTCGAATCTCCCCGTTCCACCTTAAATGGTGCAGCGGTTACATTCAGGCGCTTCTTGTTCTAACTTCGCCGTTCCACCTTAAATGGTTCAGTCACTCCGAATGAGAAGCGGAGCTGAGCTGCGAGTCTCCTCGCGGTGAGGAGGGCAGTGCGGTGCGGGGAGGGGAGGCAGGATATCTCCGGAGCAGCGCGTCCACCTCGGCTCCGTCCGGGCCCTGCTGCTCCGCCGCTTCGTCCTGCTCGTCCACGAACCGGTTCTCGTCATACTCGTCGATGTCGAGCCCGCGGAACCGCGACGGCAGTGTGTTCCTCGCCATCGGAACCAGGGGCGCGCGCACGAACTCACACAGGCGCGCAAGGCACGCGCGCGCGGTGACAGTTAGCTACGGCGTGCGTGGAATTCCCGCGATGCTGTGACTGAGTGGGGTGGAACGTCGAACGTTCTGATATTCAAAACGCCCGAACGTTCCAGCGCGCTGACGTCCCAACGGTCCTTGCGTTCTAATATTCGGACACTGGAACGTTCCGATGTTCTAATGTTCTATATAGTGGATTCAAAATGACCAGTTTTTTTCCCGCCAGATCGCCCAAAACAAACTCAGCTAACCAGCGAGAGCGCGCGCCCAGTTACCCGTCACCTGTCCGTGAGCGCGAGCATGTCCACGCGCCGCCGCCGCCGCCGCCGCAGAGCGGACCGGAGGAAAACACTCGCATACAAATCTGACTGGAGTGGAAGCGGAATGACGACACGGCGTTTCCGGTTTCCCTGTGACGCAACGCTGGTTGCTGCGGAGACGCCTAACATTAAATTAAAACCGAAATAAAAAACAAATACAGCACAATAATAATATAATCTTACTAAAGTGTTAAAAATCCCAAAATAGTAGATTTTACGTCCAAAAACATTATAAATATTGTGCCCCTCCGAGCCTGTATGTACGCAGCCCCGCTGGTGACGTCCTGTATAAATAAAAAATAATGCGTGGCCATGACTTAGTAAGGCGTGGGAATGAGATGATTAAGTCGTGGCCACGACTTAGTAAAGCATGGGAACAAGATCCTAATGCGTGGCCATGACTTGATAAGCCATGATCTCATTCCCACACCGTACAAGTCATGGCCACGACTTAATCATCTCATTCCCACGCGTTAAGAAGGCGTGGCCACGCATCATTTTTATTTATACAGGATGTCACCAGCGGGGCTCCGTATGATTCGTATGTTACTAAAATTATTTTGTATTAGCAACATAGAAAGAAAGTACGGAGCGCCGCTGGTGACGTCCTGTATAAATAAAAATAATGCAACTTAGTAGGCCGTGATCTCATTCCCACGCCTTGTGGCCACGCATTATTTTTATTTATACAGGATGTCACCAGCGGGGCTCCGTAAAGAAAGTGAGATAAAAGAGCTAAACAAGATTTTTAAAAAGCTTATAAAGCCATTCTGAATTGAAAAACTAATAATAATTTCAAAGGGGGGGAGGGGGCAAAATAGGTGTAATACGGTTGCTACGGAGACGCCTAATATTAAATTACAACTGAAATAGAAAAATACAAATATATTACAAATAATAATATAATCTTACTAAAGTGTTAATAATCCCAAAATCTTAGATTTTACCTCCAAAAATATTATAAATATTGTGCCCCTCCGAGCCTGTATGTGATTCATATGTTACTAAAATTATTGTGTATTAGCTGCATAGAAAGAGAGTGAGATAAAAGAGCTAAAAAAAGATTTTAAAAAAGCTAATAAAGCCGTTCTGAATGGAAAAACTAATAATAGTTTCAAAAGAGGGGGGGCGGTGCGAAAATAGGTGTAATACGTGCTCTATCCTGTAGGGGGCAGCAGAACTCTTCAGTCTTCAGTTCAAAACAGCCAAAAAACAGAACTCGTGTGAACTTACATAAACAACTGGTGTTAAAATTGGGACTGTATGTGAAGTAATGAATACTGTAATGAAGTATTACATCAAGTCAAACATTTTTATGCCAGTTCACAGACGATGGACGCATTTTTTAAACTTGGGTCAAACAAATTTTGCTAGCATTGTTTAAAATTCAGAAATTCAGTCCATCTATATATTTTTGGTATTAATCTATTATACTACACATAACATTCTGTGAAAACATAGAGATGATTTAGCAGCTTACAGACCTAATCAACGCAATAAAAACAACATGACTTGAGGTCTGAATCTTTATGATTAATCAGCTTAATTCTCTGCCAAGAGTGAATAACAATAACAATTGGGAGTATGGAAGCGAAAACAGTGCACTGATACCCCATCTATCAACAATATGCTTCACAGTCCAGCAAGTGGTTCCATTTACTCACTTCTATGTACTGTAATGGCGTAATACTTTAGTATTTTCAAATCATAATACTCATTCTTTTACTCAAGCCTACTAGTAAAAAAAGAAATCTAGTTTTTTACTTTTTACAGTTCCATTTTAGTCTTTAACATTTAGCTGCTAGTTCTCTTATTTCAGGTTTACACAGATCAGGCATAACATTATGACCACCTCCTTGTTTCTACGCTCATTGTCCATTTTATCAGCTCCACTTACTATATAGGTGCACTTTGTAGTTCTACAGTTACAGACTGTAGTCCATCTGTTTCTCTGCATACTTTGTTAGACCCCTTTTACCCTGTTCTTCAGTGCTCAGGACCCCCATGGACCCTCACAGAGCAGGTACTCTTTGGGTGGTGGATCATTCTCAGCACTGCAGTGAGACTGACGTGGTGATGGTGTGTTAGTGTGTGTTGTGCTGGTATGAGTGGATCAGACACAGCAGTGCTGCTGGAGTTTTTAAACACTGTGTCCACTCACTGTCCACTCTATTAGACACTCCTACCTTGTCGGTCCACCTTGTAGATGTAAAGTCAGAGACGATAGCTCATCTGCTGCTGCACAGTTTGTGTTGGTCATCCTCTAGTCCTTCATCAGTGGTCACAGGACGCTGTTGGCTGGATATTTTTGGTTGGTGGACTATTCTCAGTCCAGCAGTGACACTGAGGTGTTTAAAAACTCCAGCAGCACTGCTGTGTCTGATCCACTCAGACCAGCGCAACACACACTAACACACCACCACCACGTCAGTGTTACTGCAGTGCTGAGAATGATCCACCACCCAAATAGTACCTGCTCTGTGAGGGTCCATGGGGGTCCTGACCACTGAAGAACAGGGTAAAAGGGGGCTAACAAAGTACACAGAGAAACAGATGGACTACAGTCTGTAACTGTAGAACTACAAAGTGCACCTATATAGTAAGTGGAGCTGATAAAATGGACAATGAGCGTAGAAACAAGGAGGTGGTCATAATGTTATGCCTGATCTGTGTAAGTTCATTCTGTTGTGCTGGTTGGCTCTAGGGCTACTTTACTGTTGCTCCCACCTCTTTTCTTGTAGCTTCAGCACTTTATCTGATACCAAAACGATCCATAAAGAGAAGAATAGAGCATAACAAAATCAGCTGATGCTGATTGATGCTGAATGTACTAAGAAAGTCTCTTGCAGTTCTTTTACTCAGTTTTTGAGTAGTTACTCCTACTTTGTCATGTAATCAAATATTATGGCATCTGTCACAATAATTACATGACACTGTTATATAACTGAACAGAATTGTCATGACAACTCATGACATCATAAGACAGCTGCCATGGCATTATGGCATGGTTATTTCAATGTTATGTATACTGTAAAAAATGACAGGTCAGCTCAAATTCAAATGATATAGTAACTGATCACGTGGCTTTTCTTGAGTTGACTCAACTTGAGGACACCAGAGTTCAAACAACTCAAACTTCTTAGTTGAGTCTAATTATCCCAGCTACTGTTTCTAGGTCTTCATCTCAGTTAGACAAACAAAACTGAATTTGTGTTTTTTTGTGTTTCTCCACTTGCTAGCGCTCCTTCTATCATACTCTCCCATCTGGCATATTTTCCTCTTGGGCTTCTGAATATGACAGCTGTGGTATTACTGGGATTGAAACTCACAACCTCCTGATATCAGGATGCATCATTAGAAAGTCAAAACAACACATATTTTCTCCAGTGTATTAAATATTAATGGACGCAAAATCTGAGTTGCTTCATGTGTTCCTGAGTGGTGCAGTGTACAAAGCCGTCACTCCAACAGGAGGTTGTGAGCTTGAGCCCCAACGATGCCATAGCCATCTGTACGTTGGAGGAAAAATGTCTAGCAGGGTTTTTCCTCTATTTAGCATAACTGAGATGCAGAACTAAAAAATTAAGAGAACATTTGACACAACTAAAAAGTTTGAGCTGTGTGTCCTCAAGTTGAGTCAACTCAAGAAAGGCCATGTAATCAGTTACTATATCATTTCGACTTAAGCTGACCTCTCATATTTAACAGGGCTCAAGTGTTATCGATATTTTCCTGACACAAGGTTGTCTTGACACTTTCTCAGTTCAGTGACATACTGCTGATAATAAGACATTCGCTCTGTGGTCAAACAAATGTGGACTCTCCTCCTTATTATTGAGTTTAGATGTTTCAGCCACATCTATTGCTAACAGGTGGATAAAATCAAGCACATAGCCTTGCAGTCTCAATAGACAAACACTGGCAGTAGGATAGGTCACACTGAAGAGCTCAGTGACTGTAAACTTGTCACTGTCAAGTATAGCGTCAGTGGTAAAGTTTGGTGGAGGAGGGATAATGGGCTGGGGCTGTTTTTCAGGGTGGGGGCCCCTGAGTTCCAGTGAAAGGTGATGTTAATGCTACAGCAAACAAAGACGTTTTAGATAATTGTATCGCTGTTGTCAGAAGAAAACCTTGTATCTCCAAAATGCCAACTTTACAGGAGAAGGAAAAAAACATACTTTACTTTTAATGTAAGTCAATGGAACCAGACGTTTTTCCACGTCATTCTGGGTCATTTCTCTTAGTCCATTCATCATGAAATTTACATACTACGTAAAGGACAACAGGCATTATCAATTTCTGTCAAAAACAGAACATGACAAAAATGGAGATACAAGGTTTTATTCCGACAACAGCGATATGCTTCCAACTTTGTGGCAGCGGTTTGGGGAAGAGCCTTTCCTGTTCCAGCATGACTGAGCTCCTAAAAAGACATAATTTGAGAAGTTTGGTGTGGAGGAGCTCCAGTGGCCTGTACAGAGCCCTGACCTCAACCCCACTGAACGCCGTTGGGATGAACCGGAACATCAATCGAGAGCCAGGCCCTCTCGTCCAACATCAAGGGACACAAATGGCTACAAAGCAGGGCAGTTGTGGGCTAGAGGTTAACGAACCAGCCTTGTGACCAGGAGGTCGCCTGTTTGATCCCCTGAGCTGACAGGACGTGGCACCTAAGGCACTTAACCCTGGGTGCTGTGTCTGTCCACCGCTCTGGGTGAGTGTGCTCACTGCCCCCTAGTGTGTAAGTGGGTTAAATGTGGCAGTTGTGGGCTTAATAAAAGATAACTTAAATTTCCAGAAGAGTGGAGGCTGTTACAGCCACAAAGGGGGGGGCAACTCTATATTAATGCTCATGGCTTTGGAATGAGATGTTCAACCAGCTTATCGTTGCTGTCCACTGAAAAACAAATACCTCCAAAATAGTAACTTTACAGGAGAGGGCAAAAATGTTCTTTATTTCAATGTAAGTTAATGGAAAAAGTTTTTATTCTAAGCAATTTTGGAGCATTTCTATCGGTCCAATCATCATGAAATTTTCACACAAT